TAACAAGCATAAACATTACGAAAACTGACATATGACGGTAGAAATGAAGTTCGCAGCTGAGGAATAAAAAACCACCAAAATACTAGAAATGCTAGAGCCCATGGCTTAACTTCCGCGGCGTTCCGAAAAATATCGCCACCCAGTTATTCAACCAGTAATAGTTCGGTCAGTGATCGAATCAAGTGCGACATATAAATCTTCTTACCAACACAGAAATGTTATTCTGTCGTTGTTGTTCGAAATATAACATTTTCTTTGGCAATAACACGAAGTGTTTACAGTTCTGAAAAAAAATGCCCTCATGCACAATGAATATGCACAATTCCAGTCACTTCATGCAACACAATCAAAAAGGAGAGTAAATTTGATATGGCATCTGCCACAATCAAATATCAACTAAAACAACATAGATGTAGTTAACGAAAATCATTGAAATTCATTGAAGATGTCCGGAAAACAAAATCTACAGCAAAGTGTGTACAGCACCATGTCAACTGAAACCAAGAGATCAATAAAATGTACAACTGAAGGAATCATAAACAATAAGTCACAACTGTGTGTGTTTTCATAGACAGAACTTCTGTAAAAAGACCACAAACCTTTGTCCACTCATTATTTCATGAAGCAAAAAAACACCATCATCGTCTAGTCGTAATGCTTATTATTCAGTATGGGGTGCACGTGGAGAGCCTTTGGTTATTATAAAAACGAAAGTTTCATTAAGTAACCGAAAAAAGTTTGGAATATAATCCCTACTTAACATAAGAAAGTAAACGACTCTAAACTTCAGTTGCACTATTTTTGTAAGGATGGCAGGTTATCAGTTGGCTCTTGACAACCTACCTTTGGCTTTGATAATCCTGTGCTATCTATGTTTGTTTTCGATTATTTGATTGTCTCAATGTTGTAGAGGATAGTCAAAGTAAAAGTTTTTGTAATTGGTTTTGTTATTACTTGCATTTTCCATCCATTCTTACAGTTTGTACAATCGCCACTATTTCCCGTAAAATTTTCGAGCAGAAACGTAACCCTTGACCTTCTGTTCCGGTCTGTGAACACACAATATGACCAACTGGGTTATCAAATCACATTTTGTCTCTCACAGATCCTCAAAAATAAATAGCTCTTCACAATCGCTCCAGCACGTCATTACCTTTAGACTAGGGACAAACAAAAGATAAATGATTATGCTGTTCTTGTTTGGATGGGTTGATGAATAATTTATATACCGTTTGGCAATAACTGGTTCAAATGGTTGAGGACGGAATAGAAGAAGCTTTCGCTTAACGGGCTTCCGTGTCTGGTAGCAGTGGATCACCAATACCTCCAGGTAAGAACCTAGGTATATGAACGATAATAGAGGGGAAAAAAAGTTTGGTAAATCATAATAATATGTTATACTTAGTCCTTAAGAATAAGTCAAGTTTCCTCTTAAAGGACTCCTGGGAGGTCGCTTGAACTAGCTCAGTCGGCAGCGAATTCCAGCACTTGACAACTCTAACGGAGTAGAAGTTGTGTCTGCAGTCTGTTCTGCTATGTAGGGTCTCCAATTTATGGGTGTTACCTCTGAGGTTAGTGTTATGACTAAGCTTAAGAAGTTGTTTAAGGGGATGACCAGAAGTATTAAGGATACTATAAGTCATAAGAAGATCACCTCTAAGACGCCTGTACTCTAACGGGTAAAGGTTAAGTGATTTGAGGCGCTCTTCATAAGGTTTGAATTTGAGACCCCGAACTGATTTCGTGGCTCGACGTTGTATACGTTCCAGAGTGACCTTATCCTTTTGGAGGGAGGGAGGAAATACTATGTTTCCGTACTCTAAGTGGGGACGAATAAAACTGTTGAAGATTATATGGAAGGTTCTACCGTCAAACTGGCCAAAAAATGCGCTTCAATGTCACCAGTGCAAGGTTTGCTTGAGAGGCGTTTTTGTCACAGTTCGCATACGATTTCAGGTCGTAGGGTACCAACACTCCTAAATCTTTTTCAACTTGGGAAACTTCTAGAGGTGAGTTACCCAAGTTATAACTATAGTCTGCAACATGTCTCAGATGGACTACCTTGCACTTTAAAGTGTTGAAGGTAAGACCGTTGTCGTCTGCCCAACTTTGAAGTCGAGTCAGATCCTCCTGAAGAACTAGTATATCATTATGATTACATATCTCTCTCCAAAGTTTCACACCATCAGCAAAAAGCAATAAGTCAGATGAAACTTGTTGTGGAAGATCGTTAATATAAATCAAGAAGAGAAGAGGTCCTAGTATTGAACCCTGGGGGACCCCACTAGGACATTCCAAAGCCTGAGAGAGAGTGAAGTTAACCCTGACCTTAAAGTGTCGGTTTTCTAAATATGAAGAGAGTCAATCAATTAAAGGGAGTTTTATACCCAATTGTCCAAGCTTTTTGATAAGACATGCATGGTTGACCCTATCAAAAGCTTTTGAGAAGTCCAGGTAGATGACGTCAACCTTCCCCTTGCGATCAAAGATGTTTGTCCATCTATCCACCGCAGTCAGCAGGTTGGTCATACAAGAATGAACTTTTCTGAAACCACGCTGTTGAGGCGAGAAGAACTTTGAGGATGATAAGTGTTCTAAAATGTCGTCGAATACTAGGGATTCCATAATTTTTGAAGGTATGGAGAGAAGGGCCACTGGTCGGTAGCTTGAGGGTTCACTGCGTCGACCTCCTGTGAAAATTGGTGTGATGTGGGCCAGTTTCCATATTTCCGGTAGTTTGCCTCTGCTTAGCAAGTGTGCAAACATCACGCTAAGTGGTGTCGCCAGGATTGAAGCTGCTTCTCTCAATACAGCGGAATAAACCATATTCGGACCAGGAGAAGTGTCTTTTCCTAAGGTGCTACAGTTTACGGAGCACCAGGTCAGCACCCAGGTCCACCTCGGAAAGTCCTGTAGAGGTGCAAGTGAAGCTTTCGTCAGTATGGTTGATGTGGGTCAGCTGGAATGTCCGGGAGTATTGTTCAGCCAAAAGGTTAGCGGCATCACTGTCGTTATTGGTCGGGCCATTAGGACCAAGCAGTTGGGAAACTCCAGTTTTGCCTTGTTGAAGAGAAGCTGCATAACTGAACAAGCTTTTCGGATTGGAGACGAATCTATCGATAAGCTTGGTCTGGAACTGAAGCCTGTCTTCTCTTATTGCTTTTGTGCATATGTTTCTTATATGTTGAAGTTAGTGCTTCTTTTATCCCTTTCCAGTTGTCCTCCAAAGTAGTTTCTTGTTCTTTCAGTAGATCCTGTAGAGCTTGGAACCTATTGTTGAGAGTTATCTTGAATTCTTGGAGCTTGTCAGCATCTCGAAGGAAGGCTGTATTAAACCTTTGTAGTGCTGTTTGTCCAGTTGTCCAGTCTTTCTTAAGCTTCAGTCTCATCTTGGCCACAACGGAATAAGCTCTTCGGATTGGAGACAAATTTATCGATAAGCTTGGTCTGGAACTGAAGCCTGTCTTCTCTTATTGCTTTTGTGCATATGTTTCTTATATGTTTGTATTGCCTGTACGCGCCGTTGTTATCAGTTCGTTTATATTCAGCCCAACAGTGCCTTTTGCGGCTTAGCAAACGACGAGTGCGGTTCTTGATGATTGCAGGTTGCTTGTAGCTTTTTGGGACCATTTTAGGAACTGAATGCTCAGTAGCACATAAGATCGTGTGCAGTAAAAAATCCAAATGAGCATCCACTTCATTTTGAGGGTGAACATCCCAATCCACCTGTTGTAGATAGTCTTGTAAAGCTAACACATTCAACCGTTTGAAGTTCCAGCGCTTGTTGCTAGTAGGATATCGTAGCTCCGTTTTGCTGACAAAGCTGAATGATAAGACGGCGTGATCACTTTTCCCCAGGGGAGCCAGGATTGAGAGGTGGTCAACTAGGAATTCTTCATTTGTGAATACCCAGTCTAAGCGTGACGGCGTCTGACTGTTTCTCCAACGGGTTGCCGACTTCACAGTTTCAAATAATCCCAGGTCGCCGATAAGGTTGAAGAACAGAGCTTCAGTAGAGTTGGCACCACCAATGTATGTATATTCCACGAAGTTGATTCTAGGGAGATTGAAATCCCATAGAATCAGGATATGAGAGAATCCGAGACGCGTAGAGCGAGTTAATCCTTCCAGCAGACGTTTGTCATATTCGATGTCGGCAGCGGGCTTCCTGTAAACGACCCCAACTAGGCACCTCGAGGTGGTAGATAATCTTACTGAGCACCATACTGACTCGTCAAGATTGTGAAACTCTTGGTTGTGAAGTTGGTGCGCATCCAGGCATGACCGTATGTATAGTGCTACCCCACCCCCCATTCTTGTTTTTCTGTCGTTGCGAAATAAAGACAACCCAGTTATTGCTAACTCTTGGTCCGTAAACTGAGACGTTATCCAAGTTTCGGATATTCCTATCAGATGGGCATCATTAGCGTTGCTAAGTTCACGTAGCTCATCCATTTTGTTTGGCAAGCTCGCGGCGTTCGTGTATAGGCAGTTTATGCTTTCAATTTGGAACGCATAAGCTTCTTCTTGTTTGTCTATATGAGCCGTGTGTGAGTGGACAGGTAGCCTACCTATACGATGTTTACCGAGTTGGTAGTACCTGTCCTTTACACGTTTTTTTATGATCAAGACAGTCCACGAGTGGAATTGTCAGCTCCAGCTGTCGTTTGATCCTGCTGTCGTGGGGCCTATCCGGATGCATATGGATGCCAGTTGGCAACCGACGTCTATTGGCACGAAATGCTTCCAGAGTTGCAGCCGCCATGTAGGAGGAGGGGAAGGTTATCTTCAGCAGCCGGGGCCTAGAGTGTCCGTCTCTCTTGGCCAGTCTCATTACCTGTTGGGTCAATATGTTCTTGAGTTTTAAGGAATGCTTTATGAATTTCCATTCCCGAATATCAGAGTTCGCTTGAGCTGGGTCCATATTTTCCGGCACACCTTGCACAATGATATTTCGTCCACGGAAAAACGCCTCGCGAGATTCCTTAGGGATGTTCCGTATGAGATTTCGTTCAGAATACGGTATGTCGGGCAGTATTCTTACGTTCCCATCGGACTTCAGTAAGTGATTGGCTAGCAGGACGTCCTCTACGTCGGAGGCATTCTTAAGTGTAACACGAAGCAGCCTCGGGTGGTTTAGGTGGTTAGAGTCCTTCCCCCGAGTGAGCCGTGTTACGGTCAAAGGCTCTATTCTAGGAAGTTCAAGCCTCTTCTTTAATTCTCCCCAGAGCATCCTATCGTTTTTGTCCTGCAAACTGAGAGGAAGGTCGGGGTTATCAATAAGGTTCATGATTATGACAGAGTCGTTACGAACCGCAATTGATTTCTCAGGTTTTCCAGGGCGTCTAGGTTTGGTATCTTGTTGTTTGGATGTCGAGGCGCGTTTTCGATTCCTGGGCTCAGTGATGACAGGGTGGACAGTCTTGGGTGTAGACTGTGCGGGCAAAGCATTAATTGATTTCCGCACGATACTTGAGACGTTCAGTTTCGGCGGGGACGCTTGGGCTTTATTACTCCTGTTAACGTGAGTCCATCCACCTACAGGATTTTTGGGAACCACTGTCTCATTCAAGGACTGTTCCCTGGAGGACCCAAGTTTACTGAGGGAGTCGATGACAGATGGTGCTGAGTTTCAGCACATCATCACTCGTGCTGTTAACAGCACTGTCGATAACCGACCTGTCAGTATCCTTTTTCTTGTTTGCCCTATGGGTTCCAGCTTTGTTACCCGTCATGATGCTATCGTTCACCAAATTCTTAGACAACTTATCTCTCAGACCTGTCAGTAAAGTAATGATGGTACCCAACATAACTACCGTATCAATGTTGCAGGTAACACATACCCACCTACGATCAGACTTGCTGAGTCTGCTATAGGCTGCTGCTGTTAGATCTGTACATGCCTCGTGGAACCAACCTTTACAGTTGTCACATTGCATGCCAGATGTAACGGCAAAACGGCAACCAGGTCTTTTGCATGAATTTTTCATGGCTAGTGATTTAGACTGTCTTAAAAATACAAGCAGTAAATTTAGGACCATTAAAAAACACACAGTAAACAAAAACTGGCAAAAATGTATAAAAACAGTTAACGATAAGCTAAAGCTAGCCGTTACGTGAAAACTATAAAAAAACCGATAGTGAGCTAAGGCAAAACCACAGTTAACTAATAATTTGAGTGAAACACACAAAAAAGTAATCTACTGAACGTATAGCTCAGAATAGATTCTTTAGATTGGAAATGGTACTTTTGTTGCGTAAGAACACAGCAAAAGTTTGAGAAATGTAAATCACGTTAGGACTAAACTTCCCGTTCGAATCACTGATTGTTATCTACGGCGGACCCCCAATGAACAAAAATAATGGCTCGCTTTGTTTACAGTTAACCTTTTGTTAGAGAAATAACAGAATGCGATTCAAGTTGACTTTTATTTTATCTTGAAGATTGTACTTTACCTACCGGATTTGATTACAAGGTCATTTTGACCACACCACATTCCTGTGGTGGAACCGTAAGGAAAAAAAGTAATGAAACAATGGTGGAATAGTAGCTTTGATATGAATAATTGACTTTCACAGATTTAAGTATTCCTTATAGTAAGGGGTATTAGTTAATTTTATATATCAGGAGTCGGGCTAGTGTTTTTAAACGTATATAGCTTGTGTCATCAACTGACATCAGTTGTTATTCAAAAATGTCAGGAATAAGTATTAGGAGTTAAGCTCGATTTTAAAAGTTTGGGTTGAGATTTTCATCACAAACTGATATCTATAATTCGTTGCTTTACCACCCGGTTGCTGACAAACTGAATAAACCTAAATTTGGGGGTTACTGCGAGAATATCTACCCAAATGCCCTGGTACAGCCGAGAGTGGGGAGAGTCCGCTCTCCCTCTCCAAATGCTCTCACATGGCCACGCGAATATATAGCCTCTTCCAGGGAAGTCCTACTCACTACCTTCTCGTGGCAGGGGTGTTGTTTACGAAATTGAGAGGACGAAAAGCGAATATCCGGCGCTTCAACCGGGTTGGTGGATGTGGAGGATCCACCTAGGGGAGTTGGAAAACCCTGATTCCAAACCAATGGTGCACATTGACTCCAGTATCCTGAGGGAACAAATGGTGCATGAATCAATCGTTAGTTACCGGCTACTATGGGATTGCATCTCCTCACGATGCTCCACTGCCTTGTGGATCAGACCTTTAGATGAAAGGCTCGGGGTGTGGCCCCCTAAGAAAACCGCCTGCTTCGGTCTGGATGCCCGGGCAGTATCACGGCCTTCACACAAACCTAATGAGATGACAATTACTTCAAGAAATACTAAGCTCGCTTCAATTAAAATTCAGAAGATTCACAGCAGCAAGAAGTTTGGTGTGGGTAAAACAATCTGTGAGGATGACGGGATGCCAATCATTAACATCTATCGATGTCTTGGAAGGTAAGAATTCTTTGGAGGGCAGTTCAACTGGCCTGCTGCTCCAGCAACATCAACCAATTTGTCCTGCCCCCTATGGCCGGTGACGACTGATCCACCAAACGAGGCGGAAGTCCGCAAGGAACTCCAACTCTTGAAACGTTACAAATCACTTGGCTCAGATGACTTACCTCCGGCACTTTTTAAAGATGGTGGTGACTTTCTGGCTAAGGAATTGACTGTGTTGTTTACAAGGGTTTGGGAGACAGAAAGTGTTCCAACATCATGGAATGAGTCAATAGTCGTCCCTATCCTTAAAAAGGGTTCACGTTGTTCCTGTGATAACTATCGGGGGATAAGTCTACTTCCGATTGCGTCCAAACTATTGGCTTCTATCATTCTTCGTAGGTTGTTTAAAACCCGAGAACGTTTGACTCGCGAGGAGCAGGTTGGTTTTCGTTCTGGTCGAGGATGCATTGATCACATCTTCACCCTCCGCCAAATGTTAGAACACCGTCATACTTATCGCAGGCCAACAATCGCAGTGTTTCTTGATATAAGGGCTGCCTTCGATTCGTTGGACAGGACTGCTCCTTGGGATTGTCTATAGAAGAAGGGTGTGCCTGAGAAGTTTATTGACATCCTAAAAGCCTTATATGCAAACACCTCGAGCAGAGTAAGGGCATACGCAGATGACATAGTCCTGTTTGGTGAAGACGCTGATAAAATACAGAGTGTTTTTGGTAGCACAGAACAACAGTGCCTGGATGTTTGGGATGCGTTTCTCCCACCCTCCTTAATGCAGATTATTGCTTCAGGACTGGTCTGTATCAACTCCTGAACTAAGGATAGGGAGTGAAGTAGTCGAACGTGTCAACAACTTCACTTGCCTTAGAAGTCTGATCAGTCCTAATGGGTTGGTGTCTGACGAAATCTCAGCACGGATTCAGAAAGCCCGTTTGGTTTTTGCCAACTTGCATCTCCTATGGCGAAGACGAGATGTCCGTCTATCAATTAAGGGACGAATATACTATGCAGCAGTTCGCTCTGTTCTACTTTGCTGCTGTGAAACATGGCCATTAAGAGTAGAAGATACTCGTAAGCTACTACTAGTTGACCACAGATGTCTTAGAAATATTGCTCGTATCTGCTGGGATCACCGGCTAAGTAATAGTGAGGTTCGACGCAGAGTATTAGGTAATGGTGGCAAATCATTTGATGAGGTCATGAATCTTCATTAACTGAGATGGTTGGGCCATGTGTTACGTATGCTTGAACACCGATTACCACGACGCGCTATGATGACTAGTATTGGGGACGGTTGGAAGAGAGTTAGGGGCGGCCAAACCAAAACATGGCATCAGTGTTTGAAGTCACTAACTTCTAGCCTGAGCCATGTTGGCAGATGCAGACTACCTGGTTGGGGTCCGCGTGACTATCGTAACCAATGGTTGGAGACTCTGTGTGTCATGTGACATGTCTCAGAATCGATCACAATGGCGTAGGTGTATACACTCTTTATCTTCCTTTAAACCTTGAGACTAAAATTGCTTCATATCTCTCTTCCTTCCTATACTATATCCTTATATACAACCTATAATTTATATACTACTACCACCACTAAATTAATTACTTCTATGAATCCAGTGTTCATCTTGTTGTGCTAACGAGGTATGGCAACTTGGACTGATGCATAAATGTGCCTGGTCCTACGTTGTAGCTGACTGACTCTCGCATTACTGTTATTTGTTCACTACCATACACTAGTTTGTGGTCGTTATTGTTCTTTTTTCTTTTATGCTCACCTTGAACTCTTTATCTCTTCCCATTCTCATTGTTTTTGTGTGGGGCATATGTATCTGGCGCACCCTAGTACCAATATTTATGTGTTCAAATAAAAAATAATAAAATAAACAGGGTAGCCAGTGACTAACAATTGATTCATACGACATTTGTCCTTCCCGGATCCTGGAGCCCATGTGCACCATTAGTTTAGAATCAGGGTTTTCCAACTCCTCTAGGTAGGTCCACCGTTCCGGTTAAAGCACCGGATATTCTACTGTTCGTCCTCTCAGTTTCGTAAAAGACACCTCCACAGCGAAAAGGCAGTGAGTAAGACTTCCTCATCAGTAGCAGTATACGCATGGCCATTTAAAAGCATTTTTGGGTTGGTGTCAGACGAAATCTCAGCACGGATTCAAAAAGCTCGTTTGGCTTTTGCCAACTTACGTCACCTATGGCGTAGACGAGATATCCGTCTATCAATTAAGGGACGAGTATACTGCGCAGCAGTTCGCTCTGTCCTACTTTACGGCTGTGAAACATGGCCATTAAGAGTAGAAGATACTCGTAGGTTACTAGTATTTGACCACAGATGCCTTAGAAATATTGCTCGCATCTGCTGGGATAACCGGCTAAGTAATAGTGAGGTTAGACGCAAGGTATTAGGGAACGATGGTAAATCAGTTGATGAGGTGATGAATCTTCATCGACTGAGATGGTTGGGCCATGTGTTACGTATGCTTGAACACCGATTACCACGACGCGCTATGATGACTAGTATTGGGGACGGTTGGAAGAGAGTTAGGGGCGGCCAAACCAAAACATGGCATCAGTGTTTGAAGTCACTAACTTCTAGCCTGAGCCATGTTGGCAGATGCAGACTACCTGGTTGGGGTCCGCGTGACTATCGTAACCAATGGTTGGAGACTCTAGGTGACATGTCTCAGAATCGGTCACAATGGCGTAGGTGTATACACTCTTTATCTTCCCTTAAACCTTGAGACTAAAATTGCTTCATATCTCTCTTCCTTCCTATACTATATCCTTATATACAACCTATAATTTATATACTACTACCAACACTAGATTAACTACTATGAATCCGGTGTTCCTCTTGTTGTGCTAACGAGGTATGGCAACTTGGACTGATGCATAAATGTGCCTGGTCCTACGTTGTAGCTGACCTGACTGAAAAGCATTTCGAAAGGGAGAACTGACTCCCGACCCTCGACCTTTCCAGGACATTTGGGGGCTGTTTACCAACATCTAATGGGAACATCGTGTTAGTAATATCGAAATCCAGTAATCTATATTCGGGGCAGTGGTAATTCAATCAGTGTTACCGTTTATAAACATCGGTTTTGATGACTTTTTAATGCCCCCATTTTAGCTAAAGTTTTGCGTCGTAAAACATCATATTCAGAAACATTGGATAATCAACACTGAGGCTAGGGTGTGTGTTTGCTGAAGTTACTACTCCACGTTAACAAAATGGGACGAATATCATTAGTCGAAATAACATTAGTAGACATGCCAGTAGGAAATAATAGGCGTTAAGAATATTTTTTGAAAAGAAGGAATACAAAGATATGTCTAAAAAACCCACTGAATCTGAGAATCTAGCGGAACGGGAATTCATTTGTGCCATTGACACTGATTTTCAGCCACGTAATACACAACCTTTTATATATCACACTTTTCTTCAGTCAACAATATAAGATAATCTTAATATTCTGCTAAAGCTTTATGGGGCTAGTAAACACTTATTTTATCACTTAATGGTAATTAGTGTAGCAGTTCACTTTGTTTTACTTTAAACTACTGACGTATCTATTCGGCTGTTTCACAAGTCACTACCTTTCTCACTTCATTCTACTCTATGAACTCTAAACGACTCAATAAAAGAACAACTTCATCATGTGGTTTTTCTCATTGTCAACTTTATATTCTTATAAATCAATATATAGACTCTTAGTTAACTCATGTTGTATGTTTACAACCATTGCATCATTTTGCTTGTATTTGTCTTCTGTTCCAATGGTAATATTTTAATTATGCTCTTATTACCTGTATTCCCATTGATTAGTTTGAATACTGTTCCTGTTTCAATAAATTTACGAATGATGTCTTTTCAAACGCAATCTGAAGAAAATGTAATAGAATGTAAGAAAGTGGATTTGACCACGGTAAGTATATAATCTATAGATGGGAAAAATAACTAATGCTTTTTGGTTTGATAACAGAAACTTCTACCTACTGTCGCTCGGGCTGTTAAACTATCTCAAGAATTTCCCGTATCCGACACACCTGCTTATATTTACTACAATGACTTTCCTCAATATAAGGCTATAGCAGCTGGACAATCTAAAAAGATTCTTTCAATGTAATTAAAATTATCATTACTATTTTATCACCATTTTTCTATACATTCATTCAGCTTACAAAATGTTCTGGATATTTTAGATGCCAAAGCTAACATTTTAGATGTTCCAGTGACTAAAAGTATGCATGAGAAATTCACCTCTATTATTGATGCTAACGATCGGATACTGGAAAAATTGGTAATTTTTAATTTGTAAAAGTCAACCAGTCATTTTTACATATAGGCAATGGCTATGGATTTTGAAGAAGATCCTCAACGTAAAGCATTCTTTCTTAAAACAAGATCTGAAGACTTGGTAGTTGCTGTTCATCGAAAAAATACAACATCTCTTGAATGGTTAAAAACAAAAAATGTATGTTCAATTCACTTCACCATTTTCATATTATGATTATTATTTTAGTCAAATGAAGAAACTAATGAGGGAGTTGATTCTTCGGAAAATTCATTAAAACTTTTATCTTCAAAACATATTGTCAGACCACAAACATCTTTTACCACTCCACCAGACAATTCATACTCATCGTTTCGACCGAAAATAAAATCAAAACCAAATTGTATTCAACCACTTCCTGGTAATTTTTATTAATTTAACGTTTTGTTTTAAATTAACCTTTATTAAGAGTTGTTATCCAATGATAATGGGGAGTCGACAGAGTAAGTGTGTATACTTTGTTTATCAAATCTATAATTCTCTATTTTTCAAGTTATCCTCATCCATACAAAGTAGAATTAGAAACGTTTGGCAACAATCTACCTAGTTTGAATGAAATGATGTCAGAAGATTTTCCGGTGAAACCTTTAGATTCATCATATCAATATGTTGATACACTAGATACTCTTGAACAAATTATGAGATCCCTTTCCATGTGTAAATATATTGCAGTTGACTTGGAAGTAAGTGTATTCTTTTTTAAGAAATTTTCCATTCACATTTTTGTATAACATTGGGATTCAGGAGATTTTTACTTTGTTAACCCATCTGCCAGCAGTCTACAAACAGAGTCAAGTCACAGTGAAATCAGAGTATAAAGGAGTCTTTTACACATACTAACCTGTAAAATAGTTTACATAGGGTAGTCTGTTTTTATTCGCTCATTGTTCAATTACACCTCATTATCACACAACATATCAGTTGACAGTTAAGCAATGTTATCTAGGACACTGAATCATAAGTGTGCTGACATATCTCAAAATCAATGAATTATTTCTCAAAACCTCGAATTTGTGTTATTCAAAACAACTCCCAAACATATTACCCTTAAAAAATATCGATGCCATGGTTGGACTTGATAGTTTCAAATAAATTGAACATTAGGATATAACAAAAAATATATTTATTATTGATACTGAGGCGTTGAAATGCTTGGTAAGACTGTTTTTGTTTTGATTGTTCACAGAAGTGTTCTGGTACAAATCCAAGTTAGTTGTGTTGGACTAGACACAAAATGGAAAAGACTATCCTTCATTAAAGCTTAATAAGTGGATAATCCATTTACAAATTAATTGGTGAGTATTAATTGAAACCTCTGGACAATTAGGAATTTTCGAATTGCTGTAATTGTCACTTACTCATAGTGTATTGTAAAAATTTCATAAATAGAGAGGCCGACTACTGATGACTATTTGTCCCTGTAAATTTAGTGTTTGAAGTTTTACTACTTTGTCTTACTAAGTAGTTTAAAGTGTAGCATGAAAAGATTCAGAACTAAGCAGGATTAAGTTCTGACTTGGAATCTAGTCGATCGTTGTTTGATTGTACCTAAATTGTACATAATTTGATTGTATTCGGAAATTGACATAACATACTGCTTTTGATCTTCATTTTCGTGAACAAAAATCTTCTTTACTGGTGGTGAAAACAATCACCATAAGTCCATGAATATTGCAACTTGAAATACGTTTTCTAATCTTTGTAGTCTTAGTTCTCTCTGTAGTCATGAGTCAACGTCGGATCTATGTGATAATTACCGTGTGTTAGTCGAATTTCTCTCAAATTTTCCAGAAATTCTTCCGGTATAGCTGCACTGTATTACCGGGTGATCCGGCTTAAACAACTGGGAGACAGTAAAGGTAAATGAATGATTTGTTGCACTAGGAATTAGGATTAGGATCTTAAGATTCTTTGAGTATCTGTGATCTTGATGCAATATTGTGCGTTCACCATTGACTCAGCGTTATAGAATAGCTCTTTCCTTTCTCCTATATATCTTTTTGTAAACTTCCACCACTTTTCTTAGCATCATAGCTATCGAAGCTTCTTGGGCATTACATGTCTAATACAAATGAGTACATTGGATAGTGATTACATCATCGATGCATTGGCTCTACGTGATCATTTGTCAATATTGAATGAAGTATTCACTGACCCAAAAATTGTTAAGGTAAGAGAATTACACTCATTTTTTATTACTAACATGTAAATTTAATTATTTGTACCTGTGCATTTACCTGGTAAATCCCAAAATAGACTAAATGCACTTTTTGGACTCCACTTTTAGTTAATATTCGGCTGAAAAAAATGAAAAAGTGTGCTAAGAACTGTTGTCCTATTACATTTTTTTCGTAATTCACTTAGATTTTCCTAACATGTTTAAACTGAACTGGGTAAAAGTACAGTCTAGGGACCAAATTAAAACAACTGTGGCGAATTTCCAGCTAGTTTCTGGTCAATCAGAAAACAGCTTGTATAAATGGATAGTTTATGGAAGGGGGAAAACAGCAACATTGAAAACTGTGAATAGATTTTAAATAATTAGTGGATTTATTGATGTCTTCCAAAGGTTATTCTTCCTGTCAATCCAAAAACAATGAGTCCCCACATTGTTACTAGCTGGGGTTAGGATTAGAATCTTTACTAAGTAAATTTCAACTTCACCCCATTGCACAAGCGAGTGGCTATCAGGACTCAGTGGCCGAGTGGATAACGCGATGGCGTTTCAAGCGAGAGTTACTAGGTTCGAGTCCCAGAATAAACATCAACTCTGAAATGCAGGTACATCCATCTGACAAGTCCCGAATAGGACGAAACGTGCGTCAAACTGGATTCCACTGCTAGCCACTAGCCATCTTTGCTTACCATGCTTGTGAATTTAGGCTATATCGAGGCAATACACACAGTATGCACATATGCCAATTAGAGACTGACAAGTTGCAGTCCTAAAAACCTCAATGAGAAGATCCAAACAAATAATACTAAGTAAATTAGAAACTTTAGGTTTAAAGTTTTCATCATGAACTGACATCAACTATGGTGCAAAGTGCTCTGTGTTCGTATGAATGAATGTTGCGCAAAAAATCGACAGTCCATTTATAAAATAGAGTACGAACGGGTTAAAGTTTGTTTCACCATTATGAGCTTAGGGTTAGGATTAAGAGTCGATTTGCCTGTTATATACAATCTAAGGAAATGGAATTAAACATTTCATAAACTTAACGCTATGATTCTTACTCTATAATAGCAAAAATTAATTTTCCTCTATTGTTTTAAGCGTTTTGAGCGCCATACATAGGAAGTTTTATTGCATGTCATGCATGACATTTGAATTTTGCACAAAAACCTAACTGTCAAACTCACGGTTCTGATTGGCTCTTCCCTAAAGTATATTTCTACCCTAAACTCTAGGCTGATTATATTACATATACAAGCACTCCAACTTTATATAATAAATGAAATTCTCTGTTAATATTGCAATAGAATTTAATCTTAAGCAGAGATGGATAGTGGCTAGCAGTGGAATCCAGGACGCGCGTTTCGTCCTATTTGGGACTCGTCAGCTGGATGTACCTGCATCTCAGAGTTGATGTTCACTCTGGGACTCGAACCCAGTACCCTCGCTTCGAACGCCATCGCGTTATCCACTCGGCCACTGAGTCCTGATAGCCACTTGCTTGTGCGATGGGGTGAAGTTTGAATTCACTTAGTATTGTTTGTTTGGATCTTCCCATCGATGTGTTTAGGACTGCAACTGGTCAGTCTCTAATTGGCATATGTGCATACTGTGCGTATTGCCTCGATATACCTTAATTCACAAGCATGGTAAGCAGAGATGGATCTTATTCAAATTAAGTGAGAGGTTTTGAACAAGGGACTGTGACTCATCTTTGAGAAGTGCAAATGTCTGAAGGTCATGCACTTTTACCTCTATTGGCTAGTTTTATTGAGGATTTTGATCTAGTCATTACATTTTGGCCGTTCATATTTCTTTATGTATTTATATATCAATGATGAAAGAGATTTTATCCACATTGATATAAATAGGTTACAGTTGGCCTATGGAGTTTAATTGCTTAAACGGTGTACAAATAATGTTAAAATAGAGTGATATAATATGTCTCAATCGTGAAATACTATATACAATCTTATATGCTACCAAATGGTTTTTTTTACTTCAAATAGTCGAATATCTTGACTATTTCCCTATTTGAATCAGTCTACTCAGATGTGAATCTCAAAGAAATGCATAGAATTTGATTTTCTTGACTCATGGTCAAATTTTTATAAGAGGAAAAGCGTGGATTTGAATTGTAGTACTAGTAGTAAGAGAATACGATATTTGAGCACATTCAATAAATATATCCTAAACTAGGTTGGGGACTACAGTATGCTAGTAATTCCTACTGTTCCGTAGATTCCATTTAGAGAGTGAATGTAAAGTTAATAATCTCCGTCTCTCTAGAGGTTTTGCGGTGTTTCGTTACTTATTATAAACATTATGTTTGATAGCTACTAAATTGTAATTTCGATTTGGGCAACCGGATACTTCCGCTAGCCCTCACACTTGGGGTATGATTTGAAGCCCAATACTACATGTGTCTACATATACTCAGCTTTAAGTCGTAATTTTTTTTAAAATAAGAGCTAATTAACTCGGTTGCTCAAGTTGAAATAGACTAGGGCATGTTCAAGTAACCAACGGACTAGTTGAAAGTCAAGTGCTATCACCAATGAACCTATACTTAAGGAGGCCTCCTAGGCTATCAAGTCTCTTCACACTCCAGTTATCTCTTTCAGTATTCTCACTAAGTTTCCATTAGTATTAATGCTACTACAAAATGATAATCTGATCGTCCTTACTTATGAAATTCAATGTGTGATGATTTGAAATTCTTTTTTATTCATTTTCCAACTGTGTTTAAAAGTAAGATTTATATTTAACTGAGCTTGAAACGTCACTTCATTGATTACTATGTGCAAATGTTTTTTGTGACAAATTTTATGTCTCTTTTGCTCTCCAAAACACATTCTCTACTATACACTTCTCAAGGTGTTTCATGGATCCGATTCTGATTTAATGTGGTTACAACGAGATTTCGGTGTGTACGTAGTCAACTTATTCGATACTGGCATAGCTGCTCGTCTGCTACAGTATGGCCGTTTCTCACTTAGTTATCTATTACAACGATTTGTTGGCATATATGCGAATAAGAAATATCAACTAGCTGATTGGCGTATAAGGTACCATTCTTATTTAGTTATTCATGTAATGTTTAACAGTACTATTTTTTCATTGAAATCATGAACCGATCTACGTTAGAACACCATTGAAAATTTGAAAGCACTGGGCTATGATTAGTACAATTCCTTTGTTGTTCATCTTAATTCTACTTTTCTGTGCTTATGTCGTGTGGGCACTTGGGCTGATACATATTTGAGCCACGTCCTACGCTACTTATAACTAGCAGCTAGTTCCGTAAAGCTTAGTTAATTTCCGGTTAATTTAGTATACCGATAGATTTATCTTCTCTTATTCATTGGTCGATAGAATTCAGTCATCACATATAGACTAGACAAATATAATACTAGTCATTATTTGCTGATCAATCAATTGTAAATATTCCAGTCTTAATGAAGGTCATTTACGGCTTGGATAGCTCATTGTTAGCGTCTCAGACTATGAAGGTAACGATGCATGTTTATGTCCTATAAGAATGAATAGCTCTCTCACAATCACGGGAAAGCCTTACTGGCAAGCGTCAAGTAGGACAAAACCTAGGTTTAGGATTTGCTGTCGCTCACTTACAACCACTTAGTGTATAATTCACTGTTATGGTCAGTATTATTTGTGATATGTGCATCATGTACAAATTGTTTTGATGTACCTGATAGGTATTGGGTTAGAGTCATGATGTGAACATCAACACTGATATTCAGGTACATCCAACCAAGGTTTCCCTAATTGGGTGAAACTTGCATTTTGAATTTCACTGCTAGTCACAATCCATCTATTCTATTAACTTGTGTCAAAATAGTTATATATCAAGGCAATCCATACACAATGCACATATATAAACTGAAACTGATCAAAATCCAATCAATTATGAGATGAATAAAAAAGGAACGCATCGAGCGAAGAAATTTCTTTTCAATTAGTTTTTTATCATGGCTCTACACTATGATTTACACTATAATTATATAATTATATATCGATCATAAACTAACATTAATTAATTGGAAGAAAGAGGATTAATACTAATCAAAGTAGTTATTCGAAAATCAAGCTGTTGCTACGTTGCATAATATATAAAAATGAGAAGAAAGAACTAACAAAATATTTTGATGAATGGTCAGTAATATAGTAGTTATGTAAGAATCATGAGACGAATCTAGAGAATAAGTAAAATACAAAAATGGAAGGAATAAGATAATTGTTTACCAAAGTTCTGCTACAAACTCCGCTATACCGATGGCCAGGGTTCGGTTTTTGTATATGGATTGCGATGGCTTCAGCTATGTGCAAAAGACGAGCTCGTAAACCATGTGGCAAATTTGATGGAATATGGTAGATAACCTTAAAAGATTTATTCAGTTCAACTTGATGACATGTGCCCACTAAGTGAGCGAGAATAGAACTCTTAATCACCTTTACCTGTCCTTTGCTCAACCACGACGGATGGTGTTCTGTTATTCATTAACGAACTTGCCGAATTGTACGCCCTATATAACTGGCTCCACAGGAGCAGTTGAATTGGTAAATACACATAGATGTGGCGGATTCAGGCAATCTGTCTTTATTAACCGTTCTTATTTTGGGGCGGTTGTAAAAGATGGTACTCAGTCGGGCTGCATTAAATGTTTTCTTTACTGCCTTTCTTAACCTCTGTGTCACGATTTATTCCGTATCATCATTTAAGAATTGTAACTTTAGGAACAATACCTTCTTCGAAACGGTAGGTACCCTTGTCCTTCTTTTCGTCTTCATATGTTTGTCGATGAATTTCACTGGGTACCCATTCCTACTAAGCAAGTTGCGAATATTAACCAATTCATCTAAAATAATGTCATCCGAGCAAATCATTCTAGCACGATTAGTCCGGATCTTTATCAAGTTTCTTTTGTATTTGATTGGTACTGCACTATAGAAATGAATGTATTGTTCAACTGTAGACTTTCTATGTAACCCTCTTTTTAATGTTCCATCTACTCTACTAGTTAGTTGGACATCTAGAAACGATATACTATCATTCTGTTCTTCCTCTATATTAAATATGTTCTCCTTTTCATGTTCTTTTTCTAATAATATGAAAGTATCATCCATATAGCGACAATAAGATGTTAGATGGCTAATTGTGTCTCTAAGTGGACGGTTTTCTAGTTTTGCCAGAAAAATGTCTGCCAGTAGAGGGCCTAATGGTGACCCCATGGTTACCCCATCGAATTGTCTATAATATTCATTGCCAAATCGGAATGTTGGCGAATAAGAACGATACATCTAATGATATCATAAAGTTATTCTTGACGGATAGATTTTTTATATTAGCGACAAATTCAAAGGAATCCTTGACACTATGCTTAACAATTTCTTTGTGCAGTGGTTTGAGAATTTGCACCAACCATTTTGCTATAGTTCGATAGGCTGAATTATTCATATCTAAAACGGGTCGCTAGATTCATTTGTATTGTATTGTAAATTATACCTATGCTTATTTCTCACAATTATATGTGTATTTATATCTACATCTGTTTTTTTACTAGACCTCTGCCGAACGAATTGATCGAATATGCGCGATCAGATACACATTACCTATTGCATATTGCAAGTCGTATGTGTCGAGAATTACAAGATAGAGATCTATTGTCAGTTGCTATTGAACGAGCAAGGCAATTATGCCTTAGAGTAAGTTTTAGAATGTAATATGACTTGTTTTTCTTCAACAAAGAGATAGTTCAGTTCCAGTAATTAGTTAAACTATTCAACAAACATAAATAATTGCATAGAATTTAAACAATATCGAAAATTTGCCTGACATTTGTCGAACTCTTGAACACCTTGAATCCTATACAAATTTTCGTTCATTTGTACATAAATCCAAGTGGTTTCACTTTAAGAAAGAATCTAAAGAGAAATAAAGTGACAATCAATAGCGAAGAACAACAGGAAAAAGAACAGGGAAGTGAGAAAAGATGAGGAAGTTTTCGTCACACTTTAGGTCCTGAAAGAAAATGGTATGAACATTTTCATTTTATTTTATTTACTGAATAGTAACTGGGCACCGACTGTGCCATACAAATAAAGAGGTATGCATTATGCAGAAGTGGAGAAAGGACTGAGCAAGAATGTTATCTAACAGAAGATCTAGGTCAGTTAAAAATATGATCATAAAGATTTATTTTCCATCAACTTCATTGAATAATGTATGGGAATACATACGATTGCTACTAGTGTCGTTTATGAATCTTGTCGGATAGTATCGTGCAGCTTAGTTGTACGATCTTCAAGACCTCAACCCGATAGTGGTAATAGATCAATGTATTTCAATTTTATATAGTTCTGTTTTATATCACAATGTCAAGTAGTAAATCGATTATTTATCCGTTTTTTTTCCAACCAGTGCCAATGTTGGCGAATAATGTACAATATAAAAGCCTCTAGGATAACACACTCGTAAGAAGTATCCATTTAAAAGAAATATTTAAATTATTACTTATGTCCAACTACCATCCATATTAGTGTTGGATTGCTCACTGACGTAACAGTAGGTTGAACGAAAGCAAGACATGATTTCAGTCCATAGAGTCACTAACTATTGAACTAAGTCATGTTGATGATAGATACTGACTGCTTGGTTGTGATCTTCACAATTATCGTAACCATTGGTTCAATATTTAAAGTGGTTTAGAATTGGTCACAATGTCTCAAATACATTCAATTTTTATTTGAAAATACTTATATTTTTCATTCTACATATTCACTTTTTTCTCACATCATATTGTTTATGTTTGATCTTTTCTAATACCGCTAATTATTTATTGTTATTTAAACACATAAATATTGGTACAAGGAAAAACCAGATAAATATGCGCCTCACAAATCTCATTTGATTTGTGTGAGGGCTGTGATACTGTCCAGGTGCCTAGACTGAAGCAGGTGGTTTTCTTAGGGGGCCACACCCGGAGCCTTTGACCTAACAGTCTGATCCACAAGGCAGTGGAGCATCGTGAGGAGATGCAGTCCCATGGTAGCCGATGAACAACGATTGCTTCATACGCCATTTGTTCCCTCAGGATCCTGGAGCCCATGTGCACTATTGGTTTGGAATCAGGGTTTTCCAACTCCCCTAGGTGGAACCTCCATGTTCAATAACCCTGTTAAATCGCCGGACATTCGCTTCTCGTCCTCTCAATTTCGTAAACAACACCCCTGGTGTGAGAAGGCAGTGAGTAGGACTTCCATGGAAGAGGCTAGATATTCGCGTGGTCATGTGAGAGCATTAGGAGAGGGAGAGCGAACTCTCCTCACTCTCGACCGTACCAGGGCATTTGGGGGCTGTTGTAATGTGGAAACTTGAATCAATTCATATCGATGTCAGATTCTGCATTGTTTATGTTTGATGAACTGATTTAAGTTGCTATATCTTAAGCTAACCTTTTTGATTTGTATGATGTGCATTATTTTCCTATCGTTTATTGTTTATTATGTAAACGTTTTACTGTTGTTGTGCATACATATATGTATAATTTCCATTTAGTGTTATACAAAACCTGTATTCAATAGACTTGGTTATTTGGATCTTTATAGACAAACTGGAAGTAGTAGTTTCAGTCATCGTCAATTATATGCTTTAGAAAATCTTTATGCTTTACGTGATTCGATAGCTAGACGAGAAGATGAAAGTCTCCAGTAAGTATTATTATTATTATTAGTAGTAGTAGTAGTAATAGTAGTAGTAGTAGTAGTAGTAGTAGTAGTAGTAGTTGTTGTTGTTGTTGTTGTTGTTGTTGTTGTTGTTGGAGTAGTAGGAGGAGTATTTTGTTTTACTTTTTGTGTAATTGAGTTTTGTACTTTTTTAATCGAAGTAATTTCTCTGGTTTTCAGTTCAATAAATATAACATCTTATTCTGATGGGTTATTGTTTAGATTGGTCTAATTTGCACACTGTAGAAGAGTCTAATACTAGGAAGAAACAGCTCTTGAGTAGTGTTCCTTGGTGTTCACTGTTACTCTAAGATTAAACTGTGACTCCGAATGCTACCTACGAAATAATATACTTGATTTGTTTTTTCCTCAAACTTTTTTTCGTTGTTTATTTATTCATATGGAAGGCATCGAAATTCAAGATGTTTTTGGAAGTTTAGAGTTGTGGAGATTGTTCAGTTTTATTGAAATCATGAATTAATCCAAGTAAAATCACTATTGAAAACCTGGAAGCACTAGACGGCCGTTTCGTTCTAGTAGAAAGTGCGTGTTTAAGATCTTGCACCCAGGGATCAAACCAAAGACCTGTCTGGTTCGTGAATGCTTAGCAGCATATAATTCATCCAAACAATATCCAGTAATTTCATGATTCATGGTTACAAATCTGTGTATCACTATCTCCTCGTTAATGAAATTGTGTGATTCGATATTAAGTACATTCATCTGAATTTAATCAGTTAGATTAAGTTATCTAGATTAAAACCTTAAGAGTTTTGAAAAAGGTACTTTTACTCATCATGGAAAATGTGTCTTTATTAGCAGTTTCAAAACTAAATTTGGTGGACAAGCTTAAAACAATCATCATGAATTCCCGGCCTATTCTTAACCAATCAGAAACACCCTTTGCAAATGGATAGTTCATAGAAAAAAGAACAACCATATTACAAATTGTAGATAGTTTTTAGGTACTTAGTGAATGATGGTCCTCTACTGGTTACTCCAGGTGTAAATTGGAAAAAAACAACGACACATAGATTCGTATTTATGTATGTAGATTGTTCCTCTTCTCCAACTCTCAAAATGAGCCAGATAGGTTTTTAAGAGTCTTCTCACTGTTCATAGTCATAGTTTGTATTCAGAGTAGGTATCAAGGGTTTACGGTTGGGATTTTCATCATGAACTGACATAAGCTGTTATCCAAAGTCTTATGTAGTCACATGAATCTTGCATGCAAATCCAAAAGTACCTACCCGATTATTTCGTTTACAAATAATGGTGCTAATAAGTTGATGTTTGTCTCAGGAGTAAGCTTTTTGAGGTAGTATCTATTTGCCTGTTATATGCAATTTACAGAAAAGGATTTAGTCATTCGGTACATTTAACACTTATTTTTAGCGTTTGATGGTAAAGAATGATTTCCCCTTTTTATTTTCAACATTCTGATCACTGTATAAGGAAATCACTAATCCATATGATACGTGATATTCGATTCTGATCGCTTTCTTCCTATACTGTGCTATTACCCTATATTTACTATTGATAACTTAAACCATAATGACAAGGAAGTTTCTCTAGAAGATAAATGACCCACTTTACTTCATCACACCGATCTATCTTTGTTTTTAGTGCTCATAGTTTCTAGTTATTTCTTCAAAAACTGTATTTCCAATTGTTAAACCTGTTCTAAGTATCAAAACTTTAGATAATTTCAGTGTTGTTTTTTCCAAATTAATCTATCTTTATATTTATATCACAAATCGATCGAAATTAGATAAATTGTGGAAAAACCTGGAAGCTCTGGACGACTGGTTCACACTGCTGAGAAGTTCCACATTGGGACAAAACGGCCATCTAATGCTTCCAAGTACCTAATAGTTGTCTAACTTTAACAACTTCGTGGTGTCAATATAATTCAACAGTCTCCGTAACCACGTACCGATAAATTTATCATTAACTGATTTTTTTACCCAGAGGAAAGCTATTGAAAACTAAGATGTGTCCTGGACAGCTTTTTCATACTTTTTTAATTCATCCAATGAATGTAGACCTATAGCCTCAAAAGCATTCTCACACGGATTCTTTTAATTCTTTGTGATTGTTATTCATTATCATGAATGGGTACCTACTTTACATTTCTTACTATCGTAAACCAGTTGTCAGTGTTACTACGACTGATGTCAGTTTGTAATACAAAGCAATTTTAAATGGAGATGATCTCCGCAAGTTATTCAGCTAGCTCAGAACCTAAAACACATGTTAATTGCTTTAAATTGTCACACTGCATCAACACAACCAGGTAAAATTATCAAAACAAATGCTCGAGTAGTAGGAAATATTGAACATAGACAATATTATTTGAGAGGAAAGAATGAGTTCGTGAAACAAAATTAGTATGAAACAATTTTAATACTCAATATCTAAGAGAAAAGCTGGCAATTGATTTTAAACCATATCACCTACCATTTCTAACCGTTGTTCAAAAGTATGGCGTGGACTTCACTTTACCATCACAACTTAAACGAACAATCATTTATCTCATTAACTATCTTCCAATTTGTTGCGTCCAGCTTTCCTTCTAATCAACTCCTTTACCAGCAAACATCACAGTACAGTACATTGATCCTGGCAACAACCACTATGGTTTCTGTTAATGTCGATATGATATAGTTGTTAAATAATGATAAAAATTTTATTGTAATTATCGTGATTATTGTTATGAGTATTACTTTTCGTATATACATTAATCTCTTCACAGTTATGTCCTACCAAATCATATGTTGAAGGTAATTGCTGAAGTATTACCACGTGAAAGTTCTGGTATATTTGCATGCTGTAATCCTATTCCTCCACTGGTGCGTAAATATGTTCACGATTTGCACAAAATTATAGTGGATGCAAGAAATTTGCCTATTACAGATTTAGTAAGTTGGAGCAAAAAATTAAATTTCTTTATTATTAGTATAGAAGCATTTGTGAGAATTGTAGTCTTTACATAGTTCAAATCACGAATTGATCTTAGCCAGAAAACACTTGAAAACCTAGATGCATTGAATAACTGTTACGTCCTAGTATGAGACTCCCTAACAGTGCGCTTCCACGACCCCACATTTAATAATCGAATTCAAGACCTTCTGTCTCGTACTTGGATACTCAATCTGTAGACCACACTGAGCTGGCATCTAATAATGTACATGTCTAACATTTTTATATTAGATCTTAACTATGACTCTTAATATTTTCTAAACGCCATTCTCAGACACATCATTCTCCTTTATATCTTAACGTCTCATTTTTTAAAAATCATTTAAGTTATGACAGTAACTAATAAGTTCAGTCTGTTGAACATTTTAACTGCTTACTGTTTAGTTGATTCTTAGACTTTGACAATCTTCATCGAATAAAAACCAAAAGCGGATATTTTTACTTTTATGTGGACGATTAAATAGTTTACAAAAAGCGAAAGATATTTATCGGGTTGAGAGTGACCTAAGAGTTAATAAAGAAAATAGTAGAATTAATAATAAATTTGGAACTTTTATAAAGAATTCCTATAAATGTTGATTAAGTAAATTAGATATTTTAAACATTTTCTTGGTTTCTAGAGTATTTTTTTCAGATGATCTTAGACGAATTCTTACTTTTTTACTTACTTACTTACGCCTGTTACTCCCAATGGAGCATAGGACGCCGACCAGCATTCTCCAACTCACTCTGTCCTGGGCCTTCCTTTCTAGTTCTATCCAACGTTTGTTCATTCTTCTCATGTCTGTCTCTATTTCTCGGCGTAATGTGTTCTTTGGTCTTCCTCTTCTCCTTTGGCCTTCAGAATTCCACGTGAGGGCTTGTCTCGTGACACAGTTGTGTGATTTTCTTACAGTGTGTCCTATCCACTTCCAGTACTTCTTCCTGATTTTTTTCCTCCGCTGGAATCTGGTTTGTTCTCTCCCACAGTAACTTGTTGCTGATAGTGTCTGGCCAACGGACCCGAAGTATCTTGCGTAGACAACTGTTAATAAACAGACGAATTCTAGCAGTCACTATTTAAACATAGTTATTAAGAAATCCTATTTGTCTTATTTTGGCAAATCGATTAACGAGATAGTAAATATTTACCGACTCAGATGGTAAGGACATCTATGTCCATCCATGGACTAGCTTCATTGGCAACTGTAGTTGACTAAGCAGTAGGTTCGGATAAGATGGCTAGTGTAGGAGTAGGTTTGAAGGGTTGGCTATACTAAAATATGGTATAATCCATGAAAACTCTAACCGTTGAACTAAGTCATATTCGTAGGTACAGACTACTTGTTCGTCGTATACGTGATTATCGTAACCAATTAAAAAGGACTTTGGGTGATTTGGCTTTTTGTAAAAAAATAATTGAACTATTACTTATAAGCGTCATTGTTAGCATGTATTTCAGACCAGTTCTATTCATTTACTAATTTATAATACATTTTTTAAGTGGACTCTTAGAAAGTGACTTCGTAATTGTTTCCTAATACTTAGAAATCTTTTCTTCAACCTGGAATAGAAAATAAATTACAGTAACTGTGGAAGAAATTTTACTTCTAATGTACAGAAAACATGTATATCTACAAAATTGTCTACAACCTTGAGATTCTGGGCTCTTTTATTCAATTATGTTAAATTCGATGCCTATTTAGTTCAGATAACAAGAATATAATAATTTTCAGAAGGGGTTTTGTGGAGATTTCAGTATTCTTTTCATAGTTGAAATCATGAGTCAATTGAAGCTAGACCACCATGGAAAACCTGGAAGCACTGGACAGCCGTTTCGTCCTATTATGAGACTCCTCAGCATTGCGCATTCACGAATATAGTAATTTTCTCCTCATCTTTTAATTATATGACTAAAAGAGAAAGGTGTAAGTACGATCTAAATTTACCATTAAAAGTACACATAGTTACTTAGTAATTAAAATAAGTTATTTAGTATAATGAATCAGACTTATGCGTGACGTCAAAAGTACAAATCAACACTCAATAATAATAATATATGTAGGTCAGACGTATATATATTTATAATATCCACCGTCACATGAGCCCATAAATACTTTTATATCAGTGTTATTTTAACCTTAGCCAATGTAACAAAGACTGTAACTAACTAATTAATTGATTGAGTTAATTATTTATGCGGAAAGATAAGTTTTTTTTTCTCTCAACAAAAATAAACTATGCCATGATCTTCACAATTTAAATCACCAACTTATCTTAATTATGAGTCAGTTGAAGCTAGACCACCAGGAAAAACCTGGAAGCACTGGACGATCGTTTCGTCCTATTATGAGACTCCTCTGCAATGCTCATCCACGATCCCGCACTCGCGAGATTCAAACCCAGGACCTAATAGTCTCGCACCAGAGCACTTAACTAGTGCTTCTAGGTTTTCCATGGTGGTCTAGCTTCAACTGACTCATGATTTCAACTATGAAAATGCTGAAATCTTCACAAAACCCCTTCTGATCTATAATCATATGCTCACTAGAGATATTTCCTGGATTTCTATTGAGAAGCAGTAACCGGTGGAGTTCTACCAAGTCTGTTGTAGAGATATCAACTCACTGAAGACAATTGGTGAATGGTAGCTCAAACATCGTGGATTGGTTGGAGTTAGATATTAACACCGTTTGATCCCGGTTCAGTGGTTTGTCGGTTAAGTGCTCTGGCGCGAGACTGGTAGGTTCTGGGTTCGAGTTTCGCGAGTGCGGGATCGTAGATGCGCACTGTTGAGGATTTCCACGATAGGACGAAACGGCCATCTAGTGCTTCCAGGTCTCCATGGTGGTCTAGCTTCAATTGACTCACGCTTTCAACTATGAATTTTTTTCTCTCAACAAAAATAAACTATGTCATGATCTTAATATTTTAAATCACTAACTTTTCTTAATTAAATCACCATTTAAAATTGGAAAACACTGAACAATCGTTTCATTCTAGTATGAGACTTCTTAATAGTGTGTATCCAGTATCTCACATCCGGGAATCAAACGCAAGACCTTCGATTCTATGACTTCACTTTTTATTTGTAGGCTACTACTGGGCGGCCTGCTTAAACATCTGGGCTACCTGTTTCCCGTCATCTATATATTTCAACAAGTTATCTAATATTGTTTGTTTTAATACATCATTATGGCTATTAAGCACACAACCTATTCCGGTGCGTTTCTGAAAACTGTACAACCTTTCGCTGTAAAAGTTAGAAAAGGTCTAATCAGAGATGTCGTGTTTGCTGGGAACATGCAGCAAAAAGAATATACATTATTCATATGTCGATTGACTGAACTGCTGACATCCAACTGGCGATCACTGAATGTTTATCATCAGGAGCAACGAAGAAATAAGAAACTTAAATATGTTGAAATACTTTATGCAGAGAATTCGATTTTGTACCAAATAATATAATATTGAATCAAGCTAATAATAATAATAATAATACTAACGCGCCATTCAAAACCATCAATAAAAAACTCTTTTTATTCAAAGATCAAACATTGACAATCGCCCTGGTGGATCTCATTTTCATGCAATGCGATAGAAATATTTTGGCGATTTTCTTAATTTGTATAGAATTTGTTTATATGTAACAAAGCATATATTAGGTCATAAATTTCCAAACTGTATTACAACATTACTATCAATACATTATTAGCAAATGGGTGTTTGAAGCAAGGAGATGGAAGAATTACTTCCTTATATGTGCGAATCCACATTGCTTAATGTCTCATTAAAAAAATTGTCATTTATCATTTGAAGGATTCCTTACTACTGCACATTTATGAAAGATGGGCTGTTAATACTAATTAATGTTCAGTAATAAGTATTTTTTTAAGCATTAATGTCGTTGAATAGCTTGAATGAGCATGTGAGCATTGCCAAACAATAATTAGAAAGGATAAGTTATTTGATATGATTTTGAACCCCCTTCAATTGAGATGACACTGAATTATGCATTGTGTATGTTAAGACATTGTTCACCTCTGTCTTCGGTAAAGAGAACTATCTCATCTACGTTGGCGTGAGTATAACAGCTAGACGAGTTCCTTAAAATATATATATCTTCGGTTCGTATATTGACGTTGTTAAACAGAGACATTTCTCTTTTCAAGAAATGTGTAAAGAATATATATGCATAAAATTCATTTCATTTTTTGAAATCGTTTTTTTCTTTTTATTATTGCATAATAGCCTCTCACTTCTGAAGAGCCTAGATTATCTACACAACCAAATTCACAACAACAAGAAAATGACAAACGATCATCTGTAAATATACCTAATACGCAAAACTTAAGATATGCTTTGCCTCATGATTATTCTCGTGAAATTCATTTACTTGTAAACAGTCCAGATTATAATGATATCACTTGTACAGAATTATCAACTAATAGTAAGTTACTACTGTTTTCTAATGTATATGGTTTATATGATATGATAGAATAATGGTTTAGGTGTCCAATTCTTAACTGCCTAAGCTGTAGGTTTGAGTAATATTACAAGCTCTTACACTAATCTGTACCTGATAAATGAGTGTTGAGCTACATTTTATCTGATTAGCCAAATGGAAGTAGATAGAGTTGTCATGAGTTAAGAATTAATGAGTTAATGAATGGGTTTTCGTATATCAACATGAATGAAGCCAATACTAATCGATAACTGAAATACAATGATGTAGTATGACTGAGTGATAACTGTTTGTCAGACTGAATTATTGACGTAAGCCCTCAGTTGAACTTAAATGAGAAGACAAGTACACGGTCACATACGAAATATTGGACACAGTTATAAGTATAAATCATTTAACAAATAAACAGTAGAAAGATATGACAACTATAGGTCATTCACTCTCTAATGAAATTAGTCCCAAAATATCTGTTTTGAATTCTTGCCCCATTATATCGGGAATAGAATTAGAACTTACAAATTAATGGTTTCAAAGGCGATTGAATTCTTAGTGTTAAACTATTGCTCAATTATAATCACACAGTTTCCTTTTATCAGAGACAGTTTTTTGTAGTGGACTGTTGCATAACCAGCTACATTTTTCATCACGGATATGATGAACACAGACTTATTTGGTTGCAATGCGAGTGGTATACAAAATTGAGTTTTTTTCCGAATGCCTTTGACATGTTTTAGGATATTTTAAATGTGTTCTTACATTACTGTCGACATGTTTTGAAGAGTGCAATAAATCTGTAATTAGGTTATGTGTTCATATTTGTGCTGTGGTAATTGCAGTGATTGCCAGTTCCAAATATTACAGTACTATCATGGTTACAACAATCATTGAGTTACTTGTTTTTTTTAGAGAAGTCTTCAATGTTGGCATCAGCTTTACTACCGAATCATTGTCTAGCGGGAACTAAAGTTAATGAACAACAGGTAATTTGTGTTATTTTCGAGTTTTTTGTACTCCGTCTTGATTTAATTAACTGTATAAATTCAGTGGACTGACCCTATAGTTAAGCAACCATTAGAAAACAATAATCGTTGGGCAGTCGTTTCGTCCTGGTAAAGGGCCCTTCAACAGTACGCACTCATAACCGCACTGGAGTTCGAACCTGCACTCTGATGTAATAGATATCCAGTGAGTGCTTCCTGATTTTGTTGGTTATCTAAGTAAAGTCAGTCTATGATGTGTGAGACTTGAAATTCAACAATCTTCATAGGATCCCTGGATTAAGTTGAGAACTAAACTTTAGCTGTCTTAATTCTCATAATATTATGTGACCAGTGAATTACCCTGTTCAATTCTCAAAGTCCCATCGAAATCATGAACCAATGTAAGTTAGACCATCAGGGAAATCTTGAAAGCATAGGTAGCTATCTCATCCTAGTATGAGACTCCTCAGCAGTTCATATTCACGACTCCGTCCCCTGCAAGCAAATCTAAGAACTTGGGTAATGTACATAAATGTTTATTCTGTAGACCACTGAGAGTCATCCGGCAGTGTTAGTGTCTAGCTTCGATCAATCCATGATATTGTGAGACCATCCAGTGCTTCCAGATTTTCAGTGGTAATCTAACATTGAATTAATTTAAAATGTCAACTCTAATACGTGTATACTACATTTCAGAGGAAATACCATATCTTATATGTAATTATCAATGTAAATAAAAAAGAAATTCTGAATTAGGTACAAAACCATTCACCTTATAGTATGTTAGCTAATCAATCTACTTGTTGTCTATTTAAGTAGTACAACATTTTGTTTACAAAACGCTTTGTTTTAATTTTAGTCCCTTTTTTGGACATAACAGTCTATCTCTGTCTATATAAAATTATATACAACTTCATTGTTAAAAAAAAAACTACTGCATACATTCTCTATGCATTTAATGTCTACTCAGTATTTTGGTTTTCTCCTCTCAGTGTATATAAGACATCATTTTATGGTGTAGAGACCAGTCTGACCTTGTTTATTTATTAATGGACAATAAGAGCAACATTGAAAATGGATATGAATAGACAATAAAAATGTAACATTAAGAATAGAAAAGAGTATAGATGAAGAAAATAGAAATATGTCAAAGAAAAGCTAGAATCTTATTCAACTAACTGTGTATATATTGAATTTGCTTTGTTAGTTGAACTAAACAAATTTCTAGAATTGTTTGTCTAACAATTGTGCATATCTGTGCGTGTATGTGTTTGTTTGTTTGTTTGTTTGTTTATTATTCATTTATTGACTAGTAGTTGATTACTCACTGACGCTGTTGTCGATGTTTCAGTGGATACGAATACGGATGATGATTCACTTCCCGGTTGTTGTTGTTGTTATTTCTGTAGTTATTATTTATTTTATTTTCTATCCTATCAATAATTACTTGTTATCTTCTCTTTCTTCTCTTCTCTTTTCAACTGTCTATGTGTCTCGCAGTCATGACCTTAGTTATACGAATGCATAAACCAATGTCTAATTTTGCCAGACTGTATAGTGTCCAACAATTAGATTGATACTTTTTATTTGATACCAATGTGCTTCTTGGGCTTTATATTAGAATAATGTGGGATTTTTAGTTTGGAAACTTTATGGTTCTAATGTAATCATTAAATGTTTATTAGTTAGCGTCCTGTTTTAATCCTCAACTAACCTGATTTTGGATTACAAACAATCGAGAAGATTTTTTTCTCAATACGTATAGGATCTATGTGAAGTGAATGAATCGGACAACTGTTATGTAGAGCACTTTAGCCAATAATTTCCTACATGATTAAAAAAAAGGAAAATCACCAGCTCAGGACAAAGCTTGATACTCGGAAAAGTTCAAATGGTCATAAAACAATTATCCACATATATCAACATATATGACCTTGGAACACAGCAAAATTAGCAAGCTTAAAGAAACGACGATCTATAAGATAACAGTAATGGTCAATGCAAGAATATGGATTGTAAAATGGTTTCTGAGGCCTTACTTAAATGTCAGAACTACTATTTATTAACAAAACTAACAGTTAGATCATCTGGATACAGAAGTTGTAATTTCTAGTCATTATTATTGTTGTGTAACTCGTTTATCAAGTACAGATTTATGTTATTTGTTTTGAACCACAATTTAATGAGTATAAACGCTAGTGTTATTACATTACCTGACCGTCTAATCTGAAATAGATTGTACATGGATTCCAACTTATCACCTGCCAGTTGTTGGGAGTTGTCTTTCACAAACACTAAGCCACTGCTACACTGTCAATATTTCATAAAAACTACTTCCTAGTTCTTACTTGAAAACAGCTTCTCCGTCAAACTGTAATTATAATATAGTGTACCCAAATTACTTCACATATTAGGAATGACTGTTATCATTAGTATGTTGATTTCCTGTTAACTTTCGTTCACACTATCTGTGTGTGTTAGTTGTATTAGTGTAGCCCGTTCTTCATCTTTCTAACCATTCGACAATGAATACAAAATCAGCCGAACCTAATTCTCTCTGGGTAGTTAGTGGAGTATATGTATATGTAATTGATTTTTAAGTTGCATCGGTATAGAGGACTAGAACGCTACCCAGTAGTCATTTGAACTGAAATAAGCGAAACAGGGATTTATTCTACAATTTATTTGGTTGTAAGTATGATTTCTCTAAGTATAAGTGATCATAATTGGGTACCTACTGTTCGTCCTTGTCGTAGACACAATAATAACTGAATAATAATCCAGATGTAGACTACCTGGTTGGGATTCGCGAGATGATAGCAATCGATGGTTAGAGACCTTGAATGACATGGCTCAGAATCGTTTGCAATGGCGAAGATGCATCCACTCTTTGTGCTCTACCAAATTCTAATCTTCTGAATTCCTCATGTCTTTATCTTTTTCTCTTTCCAAATTTATTTCACTGTACTATACTCCTTCAATAATTTCTTCAAACCCTAATCTTTTGGATTTCTGATTATACTCCTACTACTTCTACCACTATGGGACTTGAATGGACAACTGCATCTCTGTGCTAATGTGCTATGGCAACTCGAACTGATTTACGAACATACGAAGTTCTACGTTGTGACTGACTGACTGAATTAACCTAAACATTATCTAACAATAATATCCTGTTAGACAAAAAAAGTTACATAAATCCATAACTTACTTAACCACTTAGGCTTAAGTCTAAACGTGTATGTAATGAGCCTCAGATCCGTTAAACTCTAAGTAATACTACCTTATTGTTTTGGATCATATGAAATATTGAGTTTGTAAATCACTTAGCGTATTTAAAAAATCGTTATTTGATCATATTCTGGTGTTACTAGTACTCTTTATCCACTTGTAATAAGATGTGTGTGTGAACACATGTTTACGCATCTTGCCAGCATGACTTTGTAAAGCAGACTACTATGTATATTTCTATTTTTATTCCTATAAATTTCATATTTCGAAATAAACGTGCTCAAACCACTTTACTGTTTTGTTTTCATGGTGGAGAGTGGGGTAGTTCTTTTGTTTATTTCTTCACTGTTGTCAATTTTTTAAGTGCTTTACATTTTCACCATTTGTTTACTTGCCAGTCTATAAAACGATGAGTTATTGTTTGTTTGTTTAACCTTTTGGCTTGTACAACTGATGAATACTTTAATGTCTTAAATCGTTCAAAATTATTTGTTGTTGTAGTTGACCTTTTCGTTTCATTCTGTGTATGCTTGTGTTTCACATTATGTCTAGGAAATGAATGAGAGTTCGGAAAACCAACTGTTCAAGGATAAATTTCTTGATCCTAATCATTTATTACTTATGAAGGTAATTGATTTGTGTGTTTATTTTGAAGTCATGTTTTTGCTTTTATCTTTTTAAAGCTAATCACTCCATTCTTTTTTTTGAATCTGCATATAACATATACACTGATTGTAGATCATTTGCGTAGGGGTTAATGAACGGTGGATAACGATTATAACTAGAGAACCATAGAAGACTGAACAAATGGTTCGTTTCCGTTTGAAACTACTAAGCAGTATCTAACAATAGAAAAGTCACATTAGATAGGCGACAGGTTTTGACACTGGAATAACTAACTCGAATATCTGTTGATCTATGTACCCAACTTCACTCAATTTGTTATATATCTTGATAATTATTTTATCCAATGTCAATAGTTGAATAACTATCAACATATTTGTGAGTGGTGTATCAGACTATAACTTGATATTGGAAGTCTGGAAATCGATATTAAAACTAATCACTAGCCAGGATAATTATTGTTCGGTTAAGTTGTTTTTGATGACTGACTCAGTTTGATCACAAACCATAATCATCTGTCAGACTGGTTTCATCATTATGATTAGTTGTTCATGTCAATAATTTGTATATTATTCTTTCAATGGAGTAGAATGGTATGTTAAATCATCTCATGAAGTGATTGGTCTGAACCATGTTGACAAATAAAGATTACTCGGTCGCACTGTCGCTTGATAAACATACTTTTGTTGACATGACTTAGAATCGTTCAGATGCGTTCATTCTTTATAGTCCGCTCAATCCTAAATTGTAGTATTGCTTGATATATACTTTCACAGTCTTTTAAAACTAAGTTCCCAAAATTTAGTCTTTCCTTTTATCATTATTGCCACCTTATTTCGATCTCTTTTGTTATTTGAATCTCATGACAATTTAATCTGGAAACTTGAATTAACACACATCTTTGACAGGTTCTATATTGTTGATGTCTATCTGTCTAATATACTCAAGTGTTCGGTGTTCATGTAACCAAATCATTGGCGTAACTCTCCAATTGAAGTGAAATCAGACAACAAACAAAATAACATATCTATATTCAAAATATTATCTCAAAGTTTACATGATTAGACGTTTTAGACAATTGGATAAAACTAACTTTTTAGGTACTCATTCATCTAGTGAATAAGATCTTAGCTGTTATTAAAGCGAAAAAACAGTTGGATATGTAACACTGAGATTCAATGAAAACCTCAATAATCAAAGTTATCTCTCCTGAGTTATTGCATTGTCTTTTTGTATATTGTTATTGGGTGATTATATGACATATGTATGGACATGAATTCAACTGTAAAAACTCTTCGAGTACAAAAACTGACACTCAAATAAGTTGATAATAGATATTAGTAAACTGAAAAATATTCAGTCTAATGTTGTAAGACTGTTAAATCAGTTATTACGGCAAATTGACTTCAGTGTTCTCAGTGGAGACTTGTTTATTTTTTCTGCATTTTCATTAGTAGATACATAGACGGTCTCAATAAACAATCATCTGTGAATATTGCAAACTACCAACATTCTAACACTACATAACTGACTTATTTAAAACAATATAAGGCTGAGTTTTCTACTTGCTGGTATCAAGTTTTACCCTACAATTGATTACTAAAGTATTGTAAGCAAAGATGGATAGTGACTAGCAGTGGAATGTGTAAAACTGGATTCCACTGCTAGCCACTATCCATATTTGCTTACCATGCTTGTGAATTAAGGCTATATCGAGGCAATACGCACAGTATGCACATATGCCAATTAGAGACTGACCAGTTGCAGTCCTAACACACCGATGGGAAGATTAAAAAAACAATACTAAATGAATTTGATTATTAAAGTGTTTGTATATTTCAGAATAGTAACATCTATCTGTTCTATTTGGAATTCAATAGGAAAATTAGCATCGTCAATGTGTGTTTTAGTTAACAGTTTCAGGAATCATTACGTAAATATATTTATGATTGAAGGTTTTGGTAATTATCAACGCATATTCATTTTTATTTCACTCTAAATAGCTGTTGGAACTTCTTAAATTCCCATGTTCTCCACTTACAACTGAAAATGAAACGTCTGCAGATACAAATGCTTCTGTTCCAATTGTTGTCTCACAACAACCCTTGCTACAAGAATCCTCTGATACGCTAAACATATGTAAGTTTATTATTTATTTATTTATTTAATCACATATATATTGGTACAAAGGGCACCGGATACATATGCGCCACACAAAATAATGAGAATAGGAGAAGGAAGAAGATGCGTATATATAATTGAAGGAAAAAAAGAAAAGGGGAAGAGTAATGATGGGGGGAACTGAATGTACAACCAGAAGAGCTCTCTCAGTTAGGAAAGTTATAGCCACTCTTTATGAAGAAAGTAGAAGAAGGTTACAGCAGGCTCGCCACTGGCTTCTATTCTGAGCCATATCTGATAACGTCTCTAGCCACTGTGTTGCACCATCTCTCGGACCCCAGCCAGGGCGTCGTGAAGGACCAACAGAAGCTAGCCCTTTGCTGCTTTTTTTCATGCCACGACACCATGTCATACACTGACCTCCTCTCCGCTTTAACCAACCAGTCCCAGAGTCGGCAAATAATGCACGACGTGGAAGTCTCTGGGACGCATTCGTAAAACATGTGCAAGCCACCGAAGTCGGTGTTTCAAGATGGTGACACCAATTGAATTATCGTCTCTGCGCCCGAACACACGATGCCGAACCTCTGCATTACTAACATGGTGTTGCCACTGGATGTCAGCAATCCTTCGGAGACAACGATGATCGAACACAGAGAGACGTCTAACATTCTCAACTCGGAGAGGCCAGGTTTCACAAGCATAGAGCAAAACTGCTCTCACCGACGCGTTGTAGATCCGACCTTTTATAGCCAGACTAACATCACGAAGGCGCCAAAGATGGCCCATGTTGGCATAAGTCACTCTGGCTTTCACTATACGTGCATCGATCTCATCACTCACGCCACCACCAGCACTTATGTAGCTACCTACATACACGAACTTCTCAACTACTTCAATCTGCTCACCATCCAGGGTGAGTACAGGATGAGAATCCTGCCAGTCTTGTAGGAGTACTTTGCACTTGGAGGGTGCAAAGCACATACCGTACCTGCGGACACTGATTGCCAACTGATTAAGTGCGGATTGCATGCCTTGAGTATTATCGCATAGTAAGACAATATCATCCGCATACTCGAGGTCGAGAAGTCGTTCTCCAGGCAACATATCCACACCGCCATTACTTACATCCATCAGAGCTGTTTCTAGGATGTCGTCGATGGCAAAGTTGAAGAGGAATCGTGAGATCGGGCAACGCTGCCTAACCCCACTGCTCGAATGGAACAAGGGAGAAAGGTGGTTGTATGCCCTCACTCTGCCTGAGGTGTTCGTGTACAGGGCCTTTAAGATGTTAATGAACTTCTCAGGCACACCCTTCTTCAATAGACAATCCCAGTGAACAGTCCTGACAACGAATCGAAGGCAGCCCTGATATCAAGAAACACTACGATTGTTGGCCTGCGATAAGTATGATGGTGTTCTAACATTTGGCGGAGGGTGAAGATGTGATCAATGCATCCTCGACCAGAACGAAAACCAACCTGCTCCTCGCGAGTCAAACGTTCTTGGGTTTTAAACAACCTACGAAGAATGACAGAAGCCAATAGTTTGGACGCAATCGGAAGTAGACTTATCCCTCGATAGTTGTTACAGGAATAACGTGAACCCTTTTTAAAGATAGGGATGACTATTGACTCATTCCATGATGTTGGAACACTTTCTGTCTCCCAAACCCTTGTAAACAACACAGTCAATTCCTTAGCCAGAAAGTCACCACCATCTTTAAAAAGAGCCGGAGGTAAGTCATCTGGGCCAAGTGATTTGTAACGTTTCAAGAGTTGGAGTTCCTTGCGGACTTCCGCCTCGTTTGGTGGATCAGTCGTCACCGGCCATAGGGGGCAGGACAAACTAGTTGATGTTGTCGGAGCAGCAGGTCAGTTGAACTGCCCTTCCAAAAATTCAGCCCATCGTCCAAGACGTCGACAGATGTTAGTGATTGGCATCGCGTCATCCTCGTAGATTGTTTCACTCACACCAGACTTCTTGCTGCCAGTGGCTCGGATGAGTTGGAAGAGCTTCCGGCAGTTACCAGATGCAGCTGCTGCTTCCATCTTATTAGCACGCTCCGACCACCAGGCTTCTCGGTCTTTACGCAAGTTTTGCCCAATTTCATTACGTAACAACCTTCGTTTGTGGTTATACTCACGGTCATCCGGAGTAGACCGACGGGCTTCCATCAGTTGTAGGGAGCCAGAAGAAACTTAGTGATTGTAAGCGGGACGTTTCGCGAAGCCGCAAGCGGCTTTACTCGCCTAGTAGCTAGCTCCGCTCGATACTTACTTGCAACAGATGTTGCAGCCATTTTACTATCATCGATCCGTTGGTGGTGGTCAATCCTTCGGCCACTGAAAAGTAAGGTGAGATTGGCGCAGACCAGGACATGATCAGACTCCAGATAGGTACTCCAAAAGGAGCGGCAGTCTTGTACACAACCACGCCAGTGGTAGCTGATCGCGATGTGATCAATCTGAGTCCAGGCTTGGGACGCAGATGGAGGACGCCAGGTGGCACACCGGCGATGACTGTGCCGGAAGTTAGTGCTGGCCAGAAACAGGTTGTGGTCTGTGCACAGTTGCAGCAAACGGTCCCCGTTATCTGTCCTGCGACCAACAAGTCCACATCGGCCACCTAAACGACTCTCTTCTGTGCCTAGACGCCCGACCTGTGCATTCAAGTCTCCGGCTAGTACTACAATATCTGTCGAACGCGCTTTCTGGAGAAGAACTGTTAACCGATGGTAAAACTCGTCCTTGATTGCATCCGGGCTGCAATCTGTCGGGGCATAGGCGGAGATGACGAAAAGACACCGTTTCTCACGCCGGTTTCTTCTCACTTTGATGGAACTTTCTAATCTAACAGCACATAACCGACTGTTAATGGGGATCCAATCGATGAGTGCTGCCTCAGCTCTAGCGTTTAGTGCGACACCAACACCAGCAAGACCAGACGAAGATGCCACAGGGTCCCCGGATAAGCGCACGTGGAACAAGCTTTTCGAGGCGACAGATGGAGAGCGGATTTGTAGTACTTCACTAGAGTCTTGAATACGGGTCTCGGATAGACAACAAACGTCAACATTAAAACCTTCCAAAGACATAGCCAGCCCTATCTGTTGTCTGATATGCATTAGTGTGCGAACGTTGAAGGAAGCCAGCTTGAACGGCGTACGTGGTTTCAGAAAGACTGCTTCAGTATTCATAATCGGTGGAAGCATTCACTTTCAACCAGACAGTGACTGGAGATCGTTTAGATAGGACAGATTTTCCACCAAGAGCGAGCTGCTGCATAAGATGAAAAGTAAGGTTACACAAATTGGGGATAAAAGGGGATGAATTAGCGATATGGTAAGTAATAATAATAATAATAATAATAGTAATAATGATGCAAATTGGATTGTTTCTTGTATGAATGAGAATATAATTGTCAGCTGAATGTTCCATTTCATTTATTTGCGAGAGGGCTGTGATACTGCCCGGGTGCCTAAACCGAAGCAGGTGGTTTTCTTAGGGGGCCACACCCCGAGCCTTTGACCTAGAGGTCTAATCCACAAGGCAGTGGAGCATCGTGAGGAGATGCAGTCCCATGGTAGCCGTTAACCGACAACAGGTTCATTCGCCATTCGTTCCCTCAGGATGCTGGAGCCCATGTGCACCATTGGTTTGGAATGAGGGTTTTCCAACTCCCCTAGGTGGATCCTGCACATCCACCATCCCGGTTAAAGCGCCGGACATTCGCTTTTCGTCCTCTTACTTTCATAAACAACACCCCTGGTGTGAGAAGGCAGTGAGTAGGATTTCCCTGGAAGAGGCTATATATTCGCGTGGCCATGTGAGAGCATTTGGAGAGGGAGAGCAGACTCTCCCCACTCTCGGCCGTACCAGGGCATTTGGGGGCGAAGAGTAAAATACCATTTTTGTGTATGTGAAGTGTTTTTTTTTAATTGACTTACTAATGTGAAATTGTGGTGCAAAAAATTTAAGTACTGAAGGTGATTTTCTGTTCAAATGCATTTAGTGAATACACCTTTCTAAGCACAAATCGGTAGTTGAATTAAGTCTTGAGGTTATGTATTTCTTATTCTTCTTGTCTCCAAAAAGCTGAAATTTTCTTCAAAGTCAGTTTTCTCCCTATTCTAATAACTCCAAAAAGCCAACAAAAATGGTTGGTCACCTAAAATAACCTAGTGGTAACATTTCTGACTGTGACGTAAAATTGACATCCATAGTGACTATCAATCTCTGCATATTGTTGTTGCACCTTTGCTATGTTTTGTGATAGGCTAAGATTATTCCGAATTACGAATGATTGGGAGATTATTCGAATACGAAACGATAGATCGAATGAGTTGTATATTACAACACTTTAACGTTAATAATTCACACACGAATAATGGAGAGAGATAATTATACTTTCAGGAGTGTTTTGACATTCTCAAAAGAAGTCAAAATTATGATAAAACAACTCTGTTTATGCAGAGACAAATGCGACCTTTATATATCCAGCAAAAATGACAAACTAAAAGCATAACTAACCAGTCAAGTAACAGCAATGGCCATTGAGAAGATTTGAATTTTCATACCATTTTTTCAGATTTCTAAACTTAAATAAGGTAGTAAAAATATATCGTGGCAGACTAACATGAATTCATTTCTTTCATGGATTCGCTCCATCTGCTTACGACTTAAAGTCATGATATTGATCATTAGAATGAAATAAGTGTACGTACTATATATCAGAGACGCCTAGAATAAACTGAGTTAAAATGTGGAGATAGAATAACATTAAGAGGACATAATTTGGAAGAATTAAAATTGTTCAAACGTTCGCTGATTTATAAGTTGAAAATATGAATATTCTATAAGACCACTGAAACAGAATCTTTTGAAATCGAAGATAGTTTATGTAATATAGACTAGTTGGGTGAAGCTCATATTAAATCTCAGCTTTAAAGGCAATGAAATAGCTGAAAGGATTGATTCAGGCTAAAGGTAATACTAAAAAGAATTTATCAAATTGTATTTGATCACAAAGATTTTATCAACACAATGAAACTAGATAAATGCCACATTGGTAACTAACTGACTACGCAGTGGCCGTTATATATATATGTATCATAAATTGAAAAAGTATCCTGTAATTTTGTTTTCATGTATCATGTTACATTGAATGTTTCTGTTTTCTATCAATTGTCATGAACTTATCCATAGTTAAGAATAATTAAAGACAATTCAGCGAAAAAGTTTTTCTTTCAACAATATTATTTACTCACGTTGTATATTCGTATTTATTGTTAATTAACAATTAAAGTATTCTTTTCACAGTTCAGTTCACCAGTCGATTTAAGATAGACCATTATTGAATACCTGGAAGCACTTGAAGTCCGTTTTGTCCTAGTATGGGACTTCTCGGCGGTACGCATCCTCAATCCCATATACAGGATTCGAACCCAGAGACTTCGGTCTCGCGCTCGAACGTCTAATCTTTAGACCCCTGAACCGGCATCCAACGGTGTTAATGACTCATGAATTCAACACTGAAAAGATTACAATCTCCACAAATCCCCATACTGATAATTCAACCAGTCTATTGAAAATTATAAGAACTATTACATCATAACATATACCAAAGAAAATCGAGAATTTAATTTCATCGCGTTATTAATTATCAATAAATACGATTGGCTAACTTGAGTAAATGTTATCGTCGAAAAGAAAATTCTTTGTCGTTGAATTGTCTTTAATTTTTCTTCAATGACACTATGGATTACTCTCGGTATATTATTATTTTTCAGCTGAACACCTAGTCAAAGTGGATGGTGATACAACTCAAGATGATCCGTCTATGAATGATAGTCAGTATTCTATTGTTTCTGATAGTGGATATCCCAACAAATTGAAACGATCATACAACAGTGAAATCATTGTAAGAACAACACCTAATTTCGGTGATGATGAAGTGATTTTTTTGTGCAATAAAAAAGTAAGCATTTCCATGATGATTATGCTTATGTGTTCATCTTCCATAATCTACTTATAGTCTATTGTAAATATTCCGTTGAGAATTTGTTAGAACATTTTTTAAAATTATATTCATGGTATAATCATGTCCGTTGTGTCTGTGTTAGTTCAGTAAGTCAGTCATACGCAATGTAGAGTCCGACACATCTTTGCATCGGTTTAAGTTACTATACCATATTAGCACTGGAAGATAAAACTATTTCCCATTGGTAACAAAAGGAATTAAGTATAATAGAAGAAAGGTATTATGAGATTTCGAGACTCATATTCTTAGGAAATACACATGTTGAGTACACCTATGACATTGTGAACGATTCTGAGCCATGTCACCCAAAGTCTCTAACCACTCATTACGATAAGCATATAGACTTCAACCAGGTGGTTCGTAACTACCTACATGGCTCAGTCAAATAGTCAATGATTTCATGAATTGGTTCTAAATCCTATTTTGGCCTTTCTTAGCTTTCTTTCAACCTACTCCAGTTGAGGTTGTTAGTGGTTAGGCATACGTGATACTTGCGTAACATATGTTTACTATAGAGAAAAAGAAAATTAGTACGATATGAAGAAAAGAAAGGAAATTAATTTCAACTGAAATATTAATTTAATCATGAGAAATACGGTTCAGAATCAGTAAATAAAACCGAAGAAGGAAAAACTTTGAAGTAATGGTTAGAAGGAAAAGAGTAACCATTGGAACTTCAACATTGTTATCGATATTGAGACATACCAGTAATTGTTCCTGATCACGTGCTTCAACAATTTCGTCACCTTTAACCAAGAAGCCTAAACCTACTGATATGTCAGAGAATATCAGTCAAAAAGTGATTCCACATCTTGTTCTGTCCACCCTTAGCTTCTTTTCGAACTCCATTTCTATCGCGATCAGCTACTTGGTTTCTTTTTTGTTTGCGAACCTCTGAACTACAATCCCTTCATATGTGTATTATAAATTATTGTTTATTCAATAATTCATTATATTTATCGAGTTTTAATGAACAACACAGTGACAATAAAACATAGTTTCAACGTACTCGTTTACCCATTTTCTTATTTTTGAATTAACTGAAAACATCATATAAGAACTCTCGTCTAAATTAGAACGAATAGTTTCACAGTATATATATATATATATATATATATATATATCACCGGAGCACAAATTCGATCGAATTCAACAGACACCAGGGATGAGGTGAAAGGTAATATTTTACATCTAATTTGACCTTTAGTGGTGGCCAAGTGATTCACATGAATAAATGAATGTCTAGACTGACTTTTCTTTTTTCGACGTATTAACACTGTTACTTAGTCATACCATGGTAATTAGCCTTAAAGTGAATAGTGTCTTTTTTTGTCTTTAAAATTTCGTTTTTATCTCCTTATTATATCAACCTTCAGATTGTTAGTTGTGTAATTCTATAAGCAGTATAAGCCACTTAACATCAGATCTCCTTTTTCTGTGGGAGAGGGGAGCGGTACGTCATATAAAGTCTCGAAATATGGATCACATTTGGGTGATGAACTATAATAAAATAGTGAATGTCTTTGTAAATCGCTCAAATCAGTATATAATTATTTTAATGTACTGATGTCATTTGTTGACCCGGTCACACTCAACGTCTTGTTAGCTTACTTTTATCCCGGCCAGAATTTCACAATAATGTTTTAAGTAGTAAGGCATTCATCAGACTTGTCCGAATTTCCTTGGTCAGTAGAAGTTCACAGCTTCATTAGCGAAATGTATTGTATTCAATGTAATTTAGTTAGCGAGATGCAAGTTTACTAATCAAAGGTTGAGAATACTGCTTGACAGGCCACTTTGGTTTTACTGTATGAATACCATCTACGAAAGTAGGAGATATTCTCCATTTGCAGGTTTTTGATCATAGATGTCGCCGAAGGATTGATCGTGAACTATGAAACGGCCGAGTAGGTTTAGGTATAAACCACTAGTCAGAGGTGGTGAGTCATCTGATAAGGTTGTAAATCGTCATCAACGTAAATGGTTGGTACATGTATTACATGGTTTTCACCTATTTCAACGTACATTGCTGGCTGGTGCAAAAATAAGTTGAAAGAAAGCTACGGACTGATAAACGATGACATGGCTTTAGTCCACGATATCATTAACCTTCAATCTACACTATGATTATAGGTGCGGACTACTAATTAGTTGGGGCTTAAACAATAACCGCCATCTCCGATTGAAAATGTCGAAATATATGGCTCGAAATCAGTTATACTAATGTACATTTATTCAATCGTTATCTTCCTCTTAACCTTGAACTCCAGCTTTTTTTTCCTCATCCATTCTTTCCATACTATATTCTAAATGATTTCGACTCCTGTGTTACTCAACTTGTAAATTTCTTTTTACTTAATATGAGTAGTTTGGTATCTTCAACAAATCCACACTTTTGTCAATCTGTACTTTGATTATGACAGGCTGATTGACTACTTCAATGTTCATTTTCTAATCTGTCTTTTTTCTTTGTTTCCATTTATCATCAGAAAAATAATAAAGGTAAAAAACGCAGGAAAACTTACGAACAACAAAAATCAATACTGCAACCGGATAGCAATTCTAATAGTAGTGTTCAAAATAATCTTAATACAAACATGGAAATCGATGATGTATCCACTTTAATTAAATGTGAATCTTGTCCTGAACAATTAGAAGGTTTGTATATATTTACTTATTTTGTTCTTATTTCTTTTCAGTTCATGAATCTTCTGGTGTGTATAGTGTGTATAAACATAAGTTTTGATTTAAGCTTCATATATCTACACTAGGCAGTAGCGACAACAGCTTGCTTAAATATTTATGTTGTGAATTGACATAGTATTTTGTTTGATTATAGTTCAGTACAGGATAACATTGATTATGAAGTTTTTCAAGTCAGAAAGTAAGATTTAACGTGACTCTGATTGATCAAATTACTGTTCAATTCATAAGAGCTCCATTCAAATGAAACTAGAACGAGATGAGGAATTTTTAGTAGACGTCATCTAAGTTACTAGGATATATATATATATATATATATATATATATATAACATGATCAAGGAATTACTGCAGTGGAAAATGAAACCTAATACCTCTGTTATGGTACTTTCCGTCTAGAAACTCAGACAGTATCAACTATTAATCTCATCCCGTATGTTTATTCATTTCATATGACGAGAGTGCGTTTCGCTTCTTTTTCAACCACAGAGATATGTTTTCCATCTATTATTTTGATTTTTCTCAATTTTACTAAAAAAGATTCTTCAGCTGACTATTCATCGTCTTTCAACGCACCACCTGTTGAATCATTAACAAATAGTGCTTCGAAGAAGAAAAAACGACCGGTGAAAAAGTTTAAAGAATTTCGTGTGGTAAGTTGACGATATCATATTTATTCAATGTTGGTGTTTGCGTATTTGTTTTGTTTTATTCTATTTTTCGAAATATTAACTTGATTTATTTTTGTTTTTGGACACACATATCTATTCAATTTTAATCAGTCATGTTTGATTATTTCATCGAGAAGACCCACTAAATATCTCCACCTGATATTTGCCTATTTTCTACTTGAAGATATGTCAATTCAGTAAAAAGGAAGTGGAATACAATGTAGTTACCATTATTATTTACAGGTTGTATTCATCACAGATTGGTCGCATTTAAGGTACCTCATGTGTAAGACACCTGTAACACCACCAGAAGGCAAACTCGAAGATTTTATATCTATCGATGAATGTTTAACCATTATTATCACTACGTTGGCGTCCAATAACATTGATATTAATCTATGTTAAATATAATCTACATGATAAACCAATCTCTAGAAAACCCTTTCAATTATTTTAGCATTATTATTATTATTATTACTATTATTATTAGTCTTGTATCGAGCATGGTTTCATATGTTCAACTCTAAATATCACCGTTTGTTTGCGTAAAAACACACATCAAATTACACGTTTAGCGTAAAACATAGAATAGATTTGAACCTGTTACTCAGTGGTTCAAAATTCATAAATATACCAGCACAATAGTCTAAAAGTTAAGCGTTTTCTTCTAGGCGTAAATGTACTTAGTTCGATCTTTGGGGAAGTCTTTGAAAAGTTCTGCACGAAGATGAAACAACTGTCTTTTCTTCTTGACTTCTCATGGTTATTTACTTACGCCTGTCACTCCTCACGGAGAAGCGTAGGCCGCTCACCAGCATTTTCCATCCAACTCAGCCTGGGCGATCCTTCCCAGTTGTTCCCGGTTGCTATTCATCTTTTTAATGTATGCTTCCGATTTCCGGCTCAGTATGTTCTTCGGCCTTCCTTTTTTCCGTTCCTCTTCAGACATCCAGGTTAGCGCTTCCCTCGTGATGCAGTTTGGTGATTTCTGCAGTGTGTGTCCTATCCACTTCCATAATCTTTTCTTAATCTTCTCTTCAGTTGGAAGTTGGTTTTCTCTCTCCCACAACAGTTTGTTGCTGATGGTATCCAACCAATGGACATTGAGTATCTTTCATAGACATGTTTTTATAACTACGTGTACTTTTTGATAATGGTTGTGGTAGTTCTCCACGTCTCAGTTCCGTTATTTATTTATTTATTTAAACACATAAATGTTGGTACAAGGAAAAACCAGATAAATATGCGCCTCACAAATCTCATTCGATTCGTGTGAGGGCTGTGATACTGCCCAGGTGCCCAGACTGAAGCAGGTGGTTTTCTTAGGGGGTCACACCTCGAGCCTTTGACCTAGAGGTCTAATCCACAAGGCAGTGGAGCATCGTGAGGAGATGCAGTCCCATGGTAGCCGTTAACCGACAACAGGTTCATTCGCCATTCGTTCCATCAGGATGCTGGAGCCCATGTGCACCATTGGTTTGGAATGAGGGTTTTCCAACTCCCCTAGGTGGATCCTGCACATCCACCATCCCGGTTAAAGCGCCGGACATTCGCTTTTCGTCCTCTTACTTTCATAAACAACACCCCTGGTGTGAGAAGGCAGTGAGTAGGACTTCCCTGGAAGAGGCTATATATTCGCGTGGCCATGTGAGAGCATTTGGAGAGGGAGAGCAGACTCTCCCCACTCTCGGCCGTACCAGGGCATTTGGGGGCACTCTCAGTTCCGTACAGTAGAGTTGTCTTGACATTCGTATTAAAAATTCAGATCGGAAGAGTGTACATGATGTACATGAAATAAGGATTAGTTTAGCAAAGATTGTATGACAAAAACACTAATAAATTAATAATTGTAGGTGATATCAGTCGAATCTGTAAATTTACCAAGGTATTGATAAGAGTTAATTACCATTTCTATCTAGATTCATAAATTAGGTTTGAGTACTTTAATTGCTATTTCTTCGGCTAATCGAAGAGACGCTGAATTTTGTTATCTGGTGATTATTTTAAAGGATAGAGAAATGTCAGTGATATGCTCAGTATCAATTAAATGACAAGCTATGGTTGTCAGCAACTGCTGATGTGAAATATACTGCATTCATATTCTTCTACTTAAATTCTTTAAGGGAATCAATAGTCTGAAGTTGATTTAGTTTATTCATGGGCCAAAGATGAAATGTCTATTAATTCTTTGGAATATTTTATTCCTATGAAAGCAGTTTGTATCCTTGATTGACTAAAGGTAAAACAATCAGTTGAAATCAATTGAAGCCTAATTATTTTTTCTGTCTTACTATGTCAAATTGATTAACAGTACTGACTGGACTCATAGACCCACTCCCTGTCCTTTAATTCACTAAACTTGTACAGATTTAGATAAGTTTTTCTTTTAACAATTTTTACTCAACTCTTAAGAAGGTACGAACTGTCCATCCTTGCCTATGAATTATCTGCAAAAATCCAATAACCGGTACCTTCCGTTTGTTCGATTCACTGGTATAATGTAATTTCACCAAAATTTAGAAATATTTCTTTACAAAGACTTTAAAATCTCAGGAAAAGCTGAAGGTATTTTAACTCATCATCAAGAATAAATGCTTCCCAACAACATTTAAAAAAGGAACGGCTTTATGTTACATTTCAATTTGATATCTACCCATTTTATAGCTATATTTAGTAAGCAAAGATGACTAGTGGTTAGTAGTGGGATCCAGTTTGACGCACGTTTCGTCCTATTTGGGACTTGTCAGATGGATGTACCTGCATCTCACAGTTGATATTCACTCTCGAACTCGAACCCAGTACCGTTCGCTTCAAACACCTTCGCGTTATCCACTCAGATACTGAGTCCTGATAGCCACTTGTTTGTGCAATGGGGTGAAGTTTAAATTCACTTAGTATTGTTTGTTTGAACCTTCCCATTGATGTTTACGACTGCACTTGGTCAGTCTCTTATATTTAGTAAGTTTGTAAATGTCATCTGGAAACCTATGAATAAATTCGATTAACATAGGAGTAAAGCATTTACTCGTGTTTCACATCTTTCTCCTATTGCATATATATCCGCGTGTAGGAGTAGTCTGAGGTTAGAGAAAGTATCTAGAATGTCAGTTACAAGCGTTTAAGTAAGATGTTTATCATAAACGAAACCATTCTTTGTAGGACCCGACCGTTTCTGTTACCTTGGCGTGGTGGTCGGGCTTTCCTATTGTGATGAACCAGTCAAGCTATACTGGCTGGAACAATCGTTCTTCAAGGTCCTACCATGCCAGGCAGGTCGGTTGAAGAGCGGTGAGACTAAAAGCAACTATCCCAAGGTCCGAGGGCGAAGTCGTACTGCCGAATGTACAGAGGTGTGACGGCAGTAAGGTGTTTCCTTCAGATGATCGACATAGCAGCGATGCTGCCTTCCCACAAGGAGGGGTGGGGTTAGAAAAGGTCGACCCTAAAGATGCACACCTCGCCTTATCCCACGGATTTCCGTCTCCGGCGGTAAGGTCTCAACAAGTACGGAGCTAACACAAAAACTACCCACAAAAAGGTCGTGCGTGACCGGCCCCAGGCAGTTGTCCCTTGGGCACTGTGGTCACGCTCCCAGGTCGTTAAGACCAACACTAATCCAACTTCCTTTTAAGGTCCCTCAAGAAATATCCTTTTACGGTGTGGGCAGCCGGGAAGTGATATTAGCCCTCATACCCGTAACTGCACACGAGACCAAGTTGGTCACATTCAAATCCTTCTTTGTAGAATATGAATTTTTTGTGTTGTTATTTATTGTTCAACAAGATGACATGACTGCTTGATGTAATCTTTGTTTTTTTTAATAAATTATTTTGTCTGTCTTTTAATGTTTAACTATAAAAAGAAATTACATGCTAGATGTATAGTAAGTTACATTGTGATGACGTAACAAAGCTTATTATTATTATTGTTGTCATTGTCGTCCTGCTAATATCATTCATTTTCTTCTTATTCCATTTTGTTGTTTTTACTTTTTGTCTTAAAATTAGTTTCATAATCAATAGACAACTGTAAAGGTTCTTCTACCCTTGTTACATCTGCATCTACGGAAAATATTCTCTCACTTCCATTACACCTACCCCCCCTCCACTACCATTATCTCACCGAATAGCAATTCATTATTTTTATTATTTAGTTTTACAAGAGAATTTCTTCTCATTATTATGCAACACGATTGTTATTAGTGATGTTTTTCTGCTGTGTGTGTGTGGGTATGAGTATGGAAAATTCCTGTCTCTTTCATAGACTAGCGAAAAAACCATATGAGTATAAAATAGATTAAACCTGATATTTTATTCGTTCATCTTATTTTTGTTGGTTAGTCGGTCGATTTATTTTTTCTTCGTGGGAGGCCTCAATCCATAGAACAACAGTAATAATAACAGGTGAACTATAGTGACAGTATTTCTTTCATATCACTCTATTGGTTCCCATTTCCCGTCTTCTTCTTCTCCTTTTTCTTTGTCTATCAGTTTTATCGGTTTCCTCTCCGTATTTGCTGTTTCTTTAGAATACTACTGCCTTGTTATTCGAACACAATATATCATTTCATACACGACAGAAATCAGTGGTTAGAGTTAGTCTTATACTTGAAGTTGTTGTCCAATTTTTAGTTTGTTCATAGCTTATATACTTGTGGTTGTGTGACCGTGCACGTTTATCATGAATATCTCTCTACCTGCCTGCTCATATTTATTTCTTGATAGTGAGATGTTAGATATTGTCCTCCCTCCCTTCTTGACTCACTTTTATACATACGCACACACATAAACATAGTAGCTTGTTATCATTTGTTGTCGTTGTTTTTTTAAAATTCGAACTCTTTCAAGTTTTCTTTTCTACTGCCACAAATTTTTTTCTCTCTCTTTACACTCAAATGCTTGTTTTGTCTCCGATATCTAGGACGAATGTGAACTGTTTATAAGACAATTAATGTAGATTACTTTTCGCCATTATTATTATTCTTATCCATTTGAAATTATTTATCCGCTTCTGTTTTTCGTTTTTTACCCTTGTGAGTTATCTTTTTCACTAAAAGTTAAAATGATTCATAATAGTTTTCAATTACCAGGTAATATTTATCATTATTGTGCTATTTACTTGTCATAATGAATCTATTTACTTCAGTTTTATTCCGTTTAGACAATTGTTAATGTTAATATTACACACTAATCTTTATAAATTAACTTTATTTCATAGTCGGGGACTGACTTATCTCATAGTCAACTGAGTAAACGTATACTTGGTAAATAAGTTGAGGTGCTAATAATATTGTTATAAAGTTTGTTTATTTAAACACATAGATATTGTTACAAGGGGGAACCAGATATATATGCACCGCACAAATCTCATTCGATTTGTGTGAGGGCTGTGATACTGCCCGGGTAGCCAAATTGAAGTAGGTGGTTTTCTTAGGGGGCCACACCCCGAGCCTTTAACCTAAAGATCTGATCCACAAGGCAGTGGAGCATCGTGAGGAGATGCAGTCTCATGGTAGCCGGTGACTAACAATTGATTTATACGCCATTTGTTTCCTCAGGATCCTGGAGCGCATATGCATCATCGGTTTGGAATGAGGGTTTCCCAACTCCCCTAAGTGGACTCGCCGTGTCCACCAACCCGGTTAAAGCGTCGGACTTTCGCTTTTCGTCCTCCCGATTTCGTAAACAACTGTAATGCCACGAGAAGGCAATGATTAGGACTTCCCTGACAGAGGCTATATATTCGCGTGGCTGTGTGAGAGCATATCGAGAGGGAGAGAGGGCTCTTCCCACTCTCGGCCTTACCAGGACCTTTTGTCATATGTAGTGAAAAAATTCTTGGAAATTGTTAAATTTCATATATGAAATATACTGATTTGTTGATAATGTGCGATGTAGTCAAGAGATAACTGTTCATAAGACTGAACTATTGAAGTTAATTTTTAATTGAACTGAGATCAGATGTTATAGACGATTGGACGAAGTCAATTTTGTAGGTCGTTAATACTCTATTGAATAAGGGAAGAGCGTAAATTGCAGGCATATTTTCTATTATATCAAATATGCGGTATGTTTTGTAATGTATTTTGAAATTGGTTTTAGTCTTAAGATTTGTTTCAGTTTCCGATTGATAGCTGATTATAATTGTTGCCGAATTGAATATATTATTTATCTATAGACATTAGGAGTATGTTGATTCATAATCACAAAGCAACAATGTATCTGATAGGATAAAGTGACCTACACATTGTTTTTCCCTGTCGAAAAAAATAGGAAGCTGAGAAATTGTAAAGCACCTTAGATGATCACGAATCGTTTCATGCGTGAATGTCAGTTCTCTGTCTCTGCACTCATACATTTCACTTAGCATTTATGGGTTTGTATACATCGGATTTAGTGCTGGAGTTTTTGTTTTTATCAAGGACTTGTGTTACTAATTCACTAGACCACGGAATATCGAAATATGAATACTATTTTTCAAACGTAGAAGCAAACAGCCATTTCGTCCCTATGTATAACTCAGTAGTTAGCACCTACGACTCCAGTAAAGATCGAACCTAGAGCCTTCAGACTTTGTAGCGAACACTTAACCAGTTAAATCATCAAGTTAGTGTCCAGTAGTACAATGAATTTTCGACATAACTCGATGACCATCCTAATACAATTAGTGATAACTTTTGCACTCTCAGCATGTCTAAACTCTACTAGTTGAAGTGGTTCTGTGGAGATTCGGCTAATTTGTAAGTTGGACTGACCATAAAATAACTCATAGAAGAAGGGGGGGGTCAAGAGTGCATGTTATTGAGGACCCCGTACTAGGATGGAATAGCTATCTAATGTTTCCTGGTATCCAATGTTATCTCAAGTTAGATTAACCAATGACAAAGATTATCTAAACATTATACCAGACTATATAACCTTTTCAACTAAAATTTAATCAACGGTTGAAATTCTTGTCAGTCAGTTCAATCAACTTTGAGTCTGAAATGAATGTACGCTGACACAAGTTGTCATTACTAAATTAGCGCAACGAAATGCGATCAATAATATGAATAGCAGTAGTGATCGAAATAATGTAGTAGCAATGATAATGAGAATTAATGAATATTAAGGATACGGTTCGAAAAGACAGAATGGAAATATATCTTTGATTGAATACTAGAACTGATGATTTAAAGAAAAATAGTGAGTAGATGCAATTGTGTCATTGTTAAGAGTTCTGAGTTATGTCACACAATGTCTGCGACTACTATAACTACAGTTCTTGCACAAGACTCAACCATTTGGTCTGGATCTACCAACATGGCTCTGACCAACATTCAATAAACTCATCGACTAATACCATATCTTTATTTGACTGCCACTAACTTTCTTACAACTTACTCCTATGTGAAACAATATTGCCTATCAAACTGAGCGTTCGTTAGACATATGTAACAAATGTTCTAACCACCTTAGTCGATGAATGTTTGCAAGATCATTAACTGATTTTATCATTTTCACCTAACCTCAACATTGTTTATTTTTTCGTTCTACACAATGCGAGGAATCCTTTGATAATACTTATGATCCATATCCTTCAGCTGACACTTGTCATCTTCTCTTATAGTTCAAGTTTCACTGCCTTAAATACACAAATGCTCTGAAATATACACATCGTTTAATTTAATCATTAAATTACTCTAGTCTGTGTATGCACATACTTAAAAGGTTCCTTTTCTACTATTTGATTAGTTATCTCTATATATTGAATATAATTAATTAAGGGTTCAAATGTGTAGTTATCTTTTACTGTACCTTTGATTTTTCATTCTATAAATTGAATTCAAAACAATTCTCAAAGAAAGAATAAGCGCTTTGCTTGTAGGTCGTTAAAATAGACTATTATTATTGTTGTTATTATTCTCCATTTCAGTCCACGACGGCCTACTTAAATTTCTAAGGCACTTACATCCCATAAATTCTTACGAATATATATATATATAAAGAGAGTTTAACTCAGGACCTTCAGTTTCGCGCGCGAACGCTTAACTTCTAGACCACTGAACTGGCATCCAAAAGTGTTAATATCTGACTTCATATAATCTATGGTCTTATGCAAACCTTCATCCATTGTCTCAAGTGAATAACTGAATTAAGTCATCATTATTAATGTAATTATAATTTTCTGTAGCGTGTGTGTGCGTACAATATTTCCACAAATTTTAAATACTTATTTAATGTATCTATGCATGTAGTTGGTTCTTTGATCCCAATCTACTAAATTATGTTTTTCTGTTTTCCATTTTTCTTACAGAGTCGTCCCAAACATCAATAATAACACTGAACTCACTGCAGAAAACAGGCTAAATTTTCTTTACTCTATACAAGTGTACATGCTTTGTTCTTTGTATATTTGTATCTGTTTTTCTTTTTTTTTTTAAAAAGAAAAGAAATTATAAGATATTTTGATTCATTTTGTTTTTTTGTCGTTGCTACTCTGTTTGTTTAAGTTGATTACGTCTTTGTTGTTATTTCAAAATCTATCGGTTAGCGTTTTGAAAGTAAAAAGAACGATAGTAATTGGTGAATTCAATTAATTCATGAACTTCATGAATTACCTCATGGAGCCAGTCACTAGTGAGCATATGATCATTGTCAGAAGGGGGGTTTCGTGGAGATTTAGTAATTTTATATAGTTGAGATCATGAATCAATTAAAGATAGACCACCATGGAAAACCTGGAAGCACTAGACACCCGTTTCATCCTATAGTGGGACTCCTCAGCGGCAGTGTGCATCGACGATCCCGCCTCGCGAGATTCCAACCCAAGACCTACCAGTCTCGCGCCAGAGCACTTAACTGATAGACCACTGAGCCGGCATCCAACGGTTAAGTGCTCTGGCGTGAGACTTGTAGGTCCTAGGTTCGAATCTCGCGAGACCGGATCGTAAATACGCACTGCTGAGGAGTCCCATAATAGAACGAAACAGTCATCCAGTGCTTCCATGGTGGTCTAGCTTCAATTGACTCATGATCCCAACTATATATAATTCATGCTGTATTTGACTTCTTTCCCTTCAGCTACATACAAGTTAATGTGTATTTAACTGTTATGAATTATTACCATTATTTGTAATTCAAAGAAATGAATTGTTCATAAGAAATAATTTGTTTGAAATATAAATGTATATAAGAATTGAAGTTTATAAATGTTTGAAGCGATATTTGTAGTCAATGGTTTAATGATATTCGACCATAAAATTGTTATTTTTTATCACACCGTCTACACACTTACTAATAATAATGATTCAGTCGAAAGTTGATAAATGTTGCGTTCTTTACTGAGAACATAGAGATCGAACATTGAGTTTAGTAATTGTATGAGCATACTGCTAGTTTGTGATCTACAGACGCTAAGGTCACAAGCGATATTATATACATATATATAGTTTGTTCAGTTAGTCAGGAACAACTCAGATCGAAGTCGTCGTGAAATTTAGGAAATCCATGGAATGATAAAGACTGTTTATAGTAATATCACACAGAAATTTTCCTTAGTAAATTTAACTTTAATCAGTGACTGTTGGCGACAAATCGTTGCGCTATATATTGTCTTTCTTCAATGTTCAGCTCTAAAGGTGTACTAATAGATCAATGAAGTAGGGTATTTATAATAAGTAACTATCAAATTTTTACAGTTGAATACATGTAAGATGTCGAGAATATTCGATTTGTCAACTGTATCATAGATTCACTACAACATTTGTTGTACTAATACTATAAAAGATAATAATATGTTGTGATAGATGACTTGAACATGACTATCATTTCGAGATGATATCAATTGATGAGAGTTGTTATGGAAAATGGAGATTAATGTATAACTATTTTATTTGTAGCTTTTTAGACGTTTCGAAAATGATGTTTTGATGACTGTAGTGATTTTTTGTGGCGAACACAACACCTTTATTTTAAAAACGTATGAAGCTATTTATTCTTTCATTAAGATCAAAACTGATATTATTTAGACGACCATTAAAAACTTAGAGGCACTGAATAGCTATTTCTTTCTAGTGTGGAACTCTTCAGTAATCTGACTCATCCACAACTCTGTTTCATACTATGAGGAAACTGATGTCTAGCACTTCCAGATTTCTAATGGTTTTCTTAATTAAACCAATTCGTGATCTCAATAAAATTCGAAATTCTCTACATCCTTTATACTGATAATGAGATTGATCAATCGTGTTATTACAGATAAATCTTCCTCCCAAAAATACAAAAAATGGTTCTTGACACAATGTTAGCTGATGTGACGATCTTCATTTTTGCTAACTCAATAGTCTTTCATACTAAATAAAAACGAGTACGATTTTTCATGCTTTAAGAATATTTATGGAACAGTCAACAGAATTGTATAATGAATGCATCTCTCGAATTTCAGAGTAAAACACTTTGTTGTTTCGTAGAGTACCAAGAACCATAATGTTCACGTTATGGAAGAAGATGCGTTGATTAACATTTACTGATGATAATAATAGTAATCTTATCATAAGCCAGTCATCCCCGTGATGCCTTTTAACGCTGAAAGCGTTAACGTTTTTAATGATATTTATTTGAAAATTACTAGAACTCATTTCATTCGAATGAACAGTCAGTAAACAGTTAAATGTGAACACCGATACAAATCAATGCTCCTATAGTCCATGAAATGAATTTTCATATTATAGAAAACCTTTTTTGACTAGAAAGTTCATTGATTTCAAACTAGTAATTGTTCACTATTACTAAATAACAGCTAATGACGGATGTCACTGTCCAATCTTTGTAAATTCATCTGAAAGCTAAAATTATTACCTAGTTAAAGTCAAAAGATTCGAAGCTCTTTACCTATGTTTCTGTTTAGCCGATATGCTTCGTCAAGGTATCTCTGAAGTTTTAAAATCGATCATTTTCTCGATAGAAACTTGAATTCGTCCTTTTTTGCACTCAAAGATGTTTTCCGGCTAATCGTTATAATTTTCTTACCAATATTCAATATACATTAATAGGTCATAATTAGTTATTCAACAAGAAGCATAGAGAAAGACTGAGAAACTTTGGAAACAATCATTTATCAAGATACTATCTATAGAATAATTTACACAATTTATTATAGGTTCATCTCCCTTGATCACATCTTTCTATACATAGGATAGTAAAAATCATTCATAAGTTTCCTGTTCCTTTTTAAAGTTTTCAGACTTCTTATTATTTAAGTACATTTTAAATTTACATGTAAATAAGCGTTTGTGTTTCGATATCGAGAATATTCAGTGATATATCTAGTATTTACTACTGGTGTGGCGTATGCTACTTATGTCGATATAAATAGTATATCACACCAATCAGAAGTGAAAGAGTTAGTAGCAGAAATTTGGGAAGATCGAATTGAAGAGAACGAGACCAGAGATTAATTGTTATGGCAATGAAGTAACGATGAAACAGGAGGAGGATTTGTAAATGAAGTATTGAATGTATAGTTTATCACCTTTAATGAAAGAATTCTATAATTTTGTATTAAAATACAGTTAGTTGACTCCACTTAAGTTCTCGTTCACTACATTGGCACCGCTAACTTGAATTTTATATGTAAAATTTATTTCTGCATAAACACTTTAACGTCATCAGCAATAATTTTCAGTTGTAGATTATCTTTTCTAAAAGGTCTATTCTTTATCAAAATGACCTTTATACTGTTTTGTTTTGGTTTTTTGTATCTAAGCGGAATTACCAAATTATTTTAATTGAAATTAAATAATTATTAAATTCTTTTTTTTTTCGGTTTTCATAATCAATGTACTTGTTCATACGTTGATCAATCTAAAACACACAATCTTTGTTGAAAGTATGTTGTCTAAATAAGTTATCTTTATTCTGTAAATAAACAATAAGATAAACATTCTTGTGATCCGATTGTTTTTGGTCATCGTTTAATCGATATTTACTTTAAGGATAACTACGGCTGTACCATGTTACAATGTGTGACAACATGTCTAAGTTACTAGATATTGTCGTATATTATGTAAGTCCATAAAGAAAATGACTGATTTATCTGGGCCATTTGCTAGATTTAGCCTACTATCAGATTGGCGTCAGTGCATTAACCTCTAGTCAGTGGTTAGAGATTTCAGGTAACATTGCTCAGAATTGGTTACATTAGACCAGATGAGTTCACTTTTTATCTTCCCTGGATCTTAAGTTTATTATTATTATTAGCTTTATTCAATATTGTATTTTTGGTATAATATAGAATTCTCAGCACAAAGTACTTCAACAAGTTTCCATTTCTTACTTCTTCGTCGACCCTCACCATAAATATTGAGTGATCGCCAGTTAGAAGTTAGCAGCCCAGTAAATCGACATCTGGATAATGTACATTCTTCTCGCTGCATATTGCCAGCAACCACGATATCTCTGATTAAGCCTTCTGTAACCTTTATAGCGAAAGGTTGTACACTTTTCAGAAACGCATCTGAATAGGTTGTATGATTAATAGTCATAATGATGTATTAAAACAAACAAAATTAGATAACTTGTTGAAATATCTAGACGACAGGAACAGGTAGCCATATGTTTGAAAAGGCCGCCAATTTATCAGTATATTTTTTCATATCTATCATTTCATTGTGTTTAACTTTTTTTTATTATGATTGCTACAATATTATTTCAACTTTTAAGTTTTCATCTCGTTAATTACATAGCATCATGTTAATTTAATCTGGCAACTTTGGCCAACCCACATTTGTGTCAAACTCTATGTTGATTATGATTGAATAACTGAAATTAAACTCAAGTTGGTTGTAAGAGATAGATCTGAGGTTCTAGATCAAAGTTTTGTAATATTTGGTGTTCATCAATAAGGTATATACGGAGTCGTGATCAACTGAATTCGATCAACGCTGAGGTTATTTTTGACAAGATAATTAATTAGCCCAAAAAAATATTTCAAATAATTTAATCGAACTACGCATGTGTGTTTTGAATTTGTCCATGTCCCTTATGGTGTGCATTAAAATATGAATAAAGTTTTGAAAGGAAAAAGCTATGGAATATCTAAACTCGATTTCTCGTGCGAATTTTACATGATGTGAACTGTCCTTTGGAAAAAGAACGCACAACTATCTGAAGCTTTTAAATATCTGGAAAAATGACTATATATGTCTACATTATTCATGAAAATGTAACATAATGTTGATCACCAAGAATTCATTCAATGAAATCAATAAATAGGAAACAAATACTAATTCGAATGCAGCTTAAATGTTTCTCATTGTCAACGGATTAGAAGAATAC